CTCCCCGCTCCCGGTCCTGCTCCTTCAGGTGTTTCTCAGGTAGACCCTCCTCCCTTGACTGCGCCGGTTGAGGTCACTGGTGACTCAGGTCCTACTGAGAGTGGTCCTGCTCGGGGTACTACTTCTGGGGGTGCTGAGCCTGGGGGTGCGGAGCCTGAGGGTGCTGAGCCTGGGGGTACTGAGCCTGAGGGTGCGGAGCTTGAGGGTGTGGAGCCTGGTGGTGCTGAGCCTGAGTGTGAGGGGTCTGGGTTTGCTGAGCTTGGCGGTACTGACGCTGGAGGTTCTGGAGCTACTGAGGGTGGTGGCGCTGGAGGTTCGGGAGCTGCTGGAGGGCCTAGTACTGGTGGCGCTGGAGCTGGAGGTTCTGGAGCTGCTGAGGGTGCTCGCGCTGGAGGTTCTGGAGCCGCTGGAGGTACTGGTGCTGAGGGTACTGACACCGGAGGTTCTGGAGCCGTTGGGGGTGCGGGCGCTGAGGGTTCTGAGTCTGCTGTTGCGCGGTCTCCTTGGAGTGGCCGCCTTCGTCCACGTGTGCCTCTCACCCCACAGCAGCTGCAGGACTGGTACGGTCGCCGTCAGCGTCGCGCTGCTGGAGCTAGGAGTGGTGCTGGTCCTTTGTCTACTGGAGGTGCTGGAGTTGCTGGTTCTGGAGGTGCTCGTGCTGGAGACACTGAGGCTGGAGACCCTGGGACTGGAGGTGCTGGTTCTGGGGGTGCTGCTGCTGGAGACACTGAGGCTGGAGACCCTGGGACTGGAGCTTCTGGAGCTGCTGGAGGTACGGGAGCTGCTGGAGGTACTGGAGCTGCTGGAGGCACTGGAGCTGCTGGAGCTGCCGGTACTGGTGCAGCTGCGCCGACACGGCTGTTCTTCGCTCCGCCGTCTCCGTCGTCTCTGCCGCCGCCTGACTCTGCTCTTCGTCAGGTTGTTACTCTCCCGTCGTCTACTGGTCTTCCGTTACAGCCTGGCTCACCGCTGCCTGCTCCTTCTCCTTACACTGAGCAGACTGGTAGTCTTGCTGAGCGTCGTGAGCCTGCGTCGCGTCCTGTCTCGCCTGCTCGTCCTGGTCGTACCGGTCGTCGTGTTCCTCGTTCGCGTCAGCCGGCTGTCCCCAGCGCACGCCTCGTAGTCCGTCGTCCTTCCTCTGCTCTGCAGCCTGTTCCTCTGCCGTCTCCCCCTGCGTCCTCTCTGCCTGCCGTTCCGGACCCTGAGTCTGACAGGTTTCGTACTGAGCACCCTACTGTCACACGTCTCCTAGCCACTGTTGTCACTGACCCGTCGTTTGAGTCTACTGCTGCATCTGCCTTGGTCGCTGAGCTTGTTGACTTTGCTGCTGCCTGTCGTCTAGACTACGCCGCTAGTCTTGTTGCTGAGTCTGAGTCTGTCTGTCCTCCGTCCGTCGGGGGTGAGTGTGCTCTTAGCACGGACGTCCTTGAGGACAGGCAGGAGGAGTTCCAGTGTCTTGCTGCTGCTTTACCTCATCTTGTGTCCTCGCTACTTGCCCCTGAGGGAGACCCGGATGCACCAGACATCCCGACTCCGCGCTCTTACGCAGAGGCGATAGAGGGTCCCTACTCCTCTCAGTGGCAGGCAGCCATGGACGCAGAGATGGCTTCCTGGAAGTCCACAGGCACCTACGTTGACGAGGTTCCCCCACCTGGGGCGAACATCGTCAGTGGCATGTGGATTTTCAGGGTGAAGCGGCCGCGGGGTTCTCCGCCTGTCTTCAAGGCGCGTTACGTGGCTCGAGGCTTCAGTCAGCAAGAGGGAGTTGACTTCTTCCAGACCTTCTCCCCCACCCCGAAGATGACCACTCTTCGGGTGCTGCTGCACGTTGCTGCTCACCGTGACTATGAGCTTCACTCTCTTGACTTCAGCACAGCTTTCTTGCAGGGTAGCCTGCACGAGGAGATCTGGCTGCGCCGCCCCCCGGGCTTCACTGGGTCGTTCCCTCCTGGTACCCAGTGGAGCCTCCGGCGGCCGGTCTACGGTCTCCGCCAGGCGCCACGTGAGTGGCACGACACACTGAGGACTACGCTTGCGGCTCTTGGGTTTGCGCCTTCTACTGCTGACCCGTCGCTGTTTCTGCGCACCGACACTTCCCTGCCGCCGTTCTACATCCTCGTGTACGTCGACGACTTGGTTTTTGCCACTGCTGACACTGAGGCTCTCGCCCACGTGAAGTCGGAGCTGCAGAAGAGACACACGTGCACAGACTTGGGTGAGCTGCGCAGCTACCTTGGCTTGCAGATCACCCGAGACAGAGCACGTCGCACCATCACCTTGACTCAGTCACACATGGTGCAGCAGGTCCTTCAGCGCTTCGGCTTCACCTGGTCTTCAGCACAGGCCACTCCTCTGGCTACAGGTCACACGCTCTCAGCTCCACCTTCGGACGAGTCCGTAGAGCCGAGTGGTCCTTACCCAGAGCTAGTCGGCTGCCTCATGTACCTGATGACTTGCACTCGACCTGACCTCGCGTACCCTCTTGGTCTCCTGGCTCGCTACGTGGCTCCTGGTCGGCACCGACCTGAGCACATGGCTGCTGCTAAGAGGGTACTGCGTTACTTGTGCAGCACATCAGGCATGGGGCTAGTGCTTGGAGGGACGAGCCCAGTTGTCCTCACTGGGCACTCAGACGCTTCTTGGGTTGACGACCTGGCTACTCAGCGGTCGTCACAGGGTTACACCTTCAGCCTTGGCTCTGGTTCAGTTTCGTGGCGTTCTACACGCTCGTCTTCAGTTCTCGGCTCCAGTTGTGAGGCTGAGATCTACGCCACCGCCATGGCTGCACAGGAGTTACGCTGGCTCACCTACCTGCTGACTGACTTGGGAGAGCAGCCTCGTTCTCCTCCAGTGCTGTACGTTGACAACAAGGCCGTCATTGCCTTGTGTGAGGAGCACAGAACGAAGCACATTGCTCTGCGGTACTTCCTGGCTCGAGAGTTGCAGCAGCGAGGCCAGCTTCGTCTTCGCCACGTGGCCACTCAGGCCAACACTGCTGATATATTCACCAAGGCACTTCCGTCTGGTGATCATCAGCGCTTTTGTACTCTGTTAGGCCTTGTGCCTACGTTTCCACACTTGCTGTAGTCTCTGCTTGTACTGTGATCTGTACATATATATATATATATGCATGCTGGCTCTTGCTAGGTAGCCATCACTGTACTGTTATTGCTGCATATATATCTCTGCATGTGAACTGGCCCAGTGGCCCTTTGCTTGTGCTCGGAATGCGTGGTGACGTTGTGATCCACCCTGAGCTTGTTTTGCTTCTCTTGACTGGTCGTGTGACCTCTTGTTCTCCCCCACTTTGCCTATGGGGGTGTGTCAAACTATATGTGCTGCATATTGTCTAGGCTGTAGTGGGGTAGCCCATATGGGGTACAACCCAATTAGGGTTTACTACTTGTACTCCTGCATCCTGTTAGTTCAATCATTCCTGCTGCTAGATTCTAACATCTTCCCCCCCGATCCCTTGCTTCTCTAACAGCGCAGCCCCCCATTTGATGCCCTCGCTCCTCGTCCTTATATTACTGGCCTAGTCCAGCCCTTCTCCCCCTTTCCCCCAGCCTTAGGTCCCCTCCCCAGGTCCCCCCGCTCCTAGCCTAGCCTGCTTTCCCATGCCTCTTGAAAAGTTTCGCAACAGCCCAACACCCCCAGCCGAATTCCCCGAAGTCCTTGTCTATTTCAGCTGAAAAATCAGACGTGGCGTTTGCACTCGTCTGAAAGTTCAGACCAGTTTTTTTTCCTCGTCAAAACGTCAGACGAAACGAAATTTTTTATGCATGTCTTCAGACGGGCTTGAATCCTAGCAAGAGCCCTGGTCCTTACGATCTGAGGGATGTCTGATGCATCAGATGGGCCCCTCGGGCAAAAAAAAAAAGCTTTGTCTGATGCTGACTGGCCCATCAGACTATTGAAAAAAAAAGGCCTGATTATCAGCCAAACAGACAAAAAATGTATGCTAGCGCCGACCCTGGGGTCAACCTAGTTAGAGGGAAACCTCGAAAACACGAGGTTGGGTGCATGTTGGGCAAAGGGAAACGGAGGGCGACTCGATGTACGAACGTGCACTTCCAAAAGTTGGGGTTGTACGCAAAAGAGTAAACCCCTGTAAGGAAAATGGTTATTCCTTACTATGTATGTGAGTGTGTTTGATAACCTATAACAGGAGTTTAGGGGGAAACATCTACAACAGGAGTATATTTGATTGTGTCTGACTGTAGAGGGCGAGTTCTTAGGTGGAGCGAAATGATATTGTGGATGCGATTGGATTCAACAAACCTTTTCTTAGGCGTTGATTTGATCGCAACTAGTTCTTTGTCACGTGAACGAAAGAACTGCACTGTTCAACACGTGATCCCAACCTTGACAAACCCTCTTCCTTTCCCCTGAACCACGCATTCGCTATCCACTTCCTCAGCAGGAGGAATCCTTGCCCTGCCCAAGTTCCATCTTCCCTCACTTGTCGCGTCAGCCTGAGTCTATCCCCTCGAGTTTAGCGCACTGATAGCGGCCGCCATCGTCCGCCGCACCGACGAATGCCATCTCGTCTCGTCTGTCCTTTCTAGGCATTCCTGCGCTTTGCTGAACTCGCATCATCGTCTCGCACCTCCGCGATGGAGAAATGTCGGCATTACCCCACTTGGCGTGTGCACGCAAACCACTTTGCCTCAGAGTTTCGTTCTGACTGTCGCGTGCTTAATTCCTTCGGGGAATATCGTATACGACTCCTACTTGGGTCAGCCAGTTGTCGGTAATTCCGCCATTCTTTCTTCAATCCAACAGCTCTGTTCCGTCTCTACCGCCGGCCCCGAGTATAGTTACATCGCCCGTCACCAGTGCCACGAACAATGTCGACATCAATGCTCACGTCAGCGATCAGCACAGACGATAACTCGTGCCCGTCTTTTCCCCCCCTTTCCTCCTCCTCCACTTCCTCCCGCTCCTCCTCTTTCACGTCCGCCTCCTCTTCTGGTCCATTGAGAGGGCCTACTACTACAATGGCTTCCCTCTCGCCGGTCAAAGCGACGACCACCACTGGCAAGACGACGGCGTCGCTGGCGGCGACGGACGACGCGGTGTGCGACTGCCCGCTGCGCCGCCACAATGTGAGGGTCATCGGGACCGGCAAGACGACGCTGCTGCTGTCGCACGGCTTCGGCACCAACCAAAAGGTAGCAACTCGCGATCGCGCCTCCACTGGAGAAATTTTCAGTGGCACTGCTTCCCATGGAGTCTACACGTGAAAGCTTTCCTGTCGCCTCATCAACCCGTTCCCGCGTGCAATTCCTTTCATTCTCTCAGTACTAAGAAACTGATCCTCATTCTCTCCCCGGGGAGGCCCTTCATGGTACTCTCACTCCGGGCAGATCTGGGACGGCGTGTTATCGCACCTGGACCTGCAACACTCCTTCCGCGTGGTCCTCTGGGACCTCATGGGCGCCTTCAGCACGCCCGCCGCCTCCTACGACTTTCAGCGCTACGGCTCGCTGTTCTCGCACGCGGACGACTTACTAGAGGTACTGGAGGAGCTGGTGGAGCAGGGGATGCTGGGCCAAGACGACGGCGTGGTGTGTGTGGGGCACAGTGTCAGCGGCATGGTGTCGCTGCTCGCGAGCCTTGAGCGGCCCGGCGCGTTCCGACGGCTGCTGCTGCTTGGGTCCTCGCCCAGGTGCGTGGTGGTGCACTGGGTCGCCTCTCTGCGCTTCGCTGGTCGTTTTCCTGGCGCTTCTAAGTCCGACTTTTGCTCGAAGTTCGCTTCACATGTTCCTTAATCAACAACTGTCGTCACGTCCCCTTCTTCCCCTCTCTCTCCCACCCTCTCCTTTCTCACTCCCCTCCCTTCGCCCCTACTTACAAACAGGTACCTCAATGATCCACCCACAGGCTACATGGGCGGGTTCAACCCCCCAGACCTGGATCAGATCTTCCTGGCCGTGAGGGAGAACTACATTGCGTGGGTGTCGGGCTTTGCGCCGCTCATGGTGGGGCGGGACATCAGCAGTCCGGAGGTGCGCGAGTTCAGCGAGACCATGCTGCAAGTGCGCCCGGATATCGCTCTCAGCACGCTCCGAACGGCGTTTCAGTCTGACTTCCGGCACCTCCTGGGACGGGTGCGTTGCGGTGCCCTGCTGGTGGTTGCCGGGGGGATGCGAAGGGGTAACGGGCACAGGAGGGCGAAACGAGGCGACGGGTGGGAAGGGAAGTGACAGGTCGTAAGAGCTGCGATGATTTGCTGGTTTGGAAAGTCCTTTTCTCCCTTACTCTCCCTAAATCACCAAACCACCACGTCCACATCACATCCCCACGTCGCATCCTTATTCATGTTCCAACTGACTTGTTCCTGCTCTTCTGTTGCTCTCCTCTCCAGGTGTCATGCCCAGTGACGGTTCTATCCACAGGGGTTGACGCTGCAGTGCCAGTGCAAGTGAGTGAGTACCTGAGGGAGGCCATACCTGGCGCGTGCATGGAGCTGCTACCCACGCAAGGCCATCTCCCCCACCTCACCCACCCTGCTGTTGTCGCCCAAGCCATCCAACGCCACGCTTCTGCGCCGCTGTGAAACCCTCTGCACCGTGCAGCACCGCACCGGAGAGTGCTCCGTAACGCCAGTGGCGCGGAAAGGTTGTGCGCGGGTGGTTCACGTGGTACCCTCAACCCAAATGAACCGCACGATATCGCCCTGGTGTAGGGCCTGGGGGTAGAGGAGAGCTTTTGGCTGTAGAGCTGTGGCATGGGATGGAGCATTGGCGCCAGCTGCATGGCAGTGGCGTGGTGTGACAGGGTAATTGGTAGTTTTGTAAGGCGCCTCAGAAGATGGTTTTTGAGGCGCCGCAAAAGTAGAGCAGAGGGTTTGGTGTCAGAGCTGTAGCATGGGATGGGATGGAATGGGAGCCAGCAGTTTGATAGTGTTGTTGCAGGGTAGTAGTTTTTTTTTTTTTCCATGTACCATACAGCGCACCACTGTAAATGCTTGCAGTGCAGCAGCAGCAGCAGCAGCAGCAGCAGCGTGGCTAGCATCACAATCCCAATTTTCTGCTGCATGCATCCATTGCAGGCGGTGCAGTAAGCGTGTTCTTCTTGTACGGTACCGTACCTTGCAAGTAGTGAGGACGAAGTTGTTTATTTTTACGTATGAGATAGATCAAGTTGAAAGGGATTGTCCTTTTATAGAGCTCTGATTAGTTTTGAGCCGATGTGTCTTTATTTATTGCATCTTATATCTTTCAACTTCGTTGCCTTCTTTTTTCTTCGCAGGTCCTGAGATTGTGGTTGCAACATTCATATTAAGTCCACTGAAACATTGTAAGACCTTTCCTGTAATCTCTCTTTCCCTCTTCTTTTTCTTCAACATCTCCTTACTCTTTATTGTTACGTGTGTTTCTGTTGACTTCGCTGTCATTGGTGTTAGAGATTTAGAAAGTGTCTTATTGCTTCATACTGGATTCTATTGTATTTCGCCTTTTTCTGTCGCATGATATTTTCTGTTCTCCTTTCGCCTACGTTTCTTTACTTTGTTCTTTCTTTCCTCCTTATCTTCCCACTCTTATTAAGATGGAAACGATTTTGATTTAGTTTGCTAGGCGAATCAGGGCACGTAGGTCAAGTCGACCTAGCTAGGCCTTATTTCTGCTTGCTGCTATTATTGGCTTCCCTTTCCTGCCTCTGGTATTTGCTTTCGGTTCCTACTTCTGTTTTTGCATTTTTTAGGGCTTAATGTTTTCTGATTGTTGTTTTCTGCTTTTGTTTGAAGCATACCTTGTCGTACCCCCTTTATCTGTCTTTTTTCCTAATATTTTTCTCTCCTTGTTTCACTCATTGTCATTCCTCGCCTCCTGTTTCTCTCATGCTTTCTTCCCCCCATGTTCTTTCCTCCCCCCTCTTTTCATTGCTCGCCTCCTGTTTATTCCATGCTTTCTTCCCTTTCTATTATATCCTATCGCCAGAGGCTTTGCTGTACCATTGGGAAGCCAAGACCAATATAGAAAGTAGAATGGTATCGTTCTTGATTTGTATGATTGATGGTATTGTATTGCTTTGGTAGATTTTTCCTGCATTTTTATTGACTTGTCTCAGTTTTTGCGTGTGCATATGTGTGTGTTTGTATGTATGTCTCTCTGTGTGTGTATGTGTGTGTATATTCATCCATATGCGTATATCATTGCATTAACAATGCATATCTGTGTGTTTTAAAAAAATGGTCAAACTGTCAATTCCGAGAAGGTTCTTTGCCCACTCAGTGAGTGTGTTCACTTGAACTGGATTTGACAAATTTTGATCATTTTTTTAGTTTACACATTTTGTGTTGTTTCATGTAATAGTTGGATGGTTCAGGAACTATGCTATTGACCTCCCCCCAATGCTAGGCAGGGGACGCGGTAGCATAGAGCCTGGGTCAATTAACTATTACGTAAATTCATCATGCTTATGCATTCATGATATATATACAGTACCGGTCGATTTATACCGAAATATATAATATTCCACCAGTCACATATCCATTATATTTATGCATTATATTTATCCATCCATATAATTCATCTATGCATAATATAATCCGGCGTATGCATTACGGAATACAAAATTAAGCGTTCACATTAGGTAACCCAACCCAAGTTCAAGGAAAGCTAGGAAATGAGCTACGGCACATGCTAAATTGCCATGACAAAAATACATACGGTAGGAGTCCGTCACTTAGCTACTATTCATTAGATTTTCTTCATTCGATTTTATAGATGATTGAAAAAAAATGAACATAACGATTGTAATAGGTTGCTCCGCAACCCAAAAAAAAAAAGTGCTGCAGTGCCGCTTAAACCCCTGCCACAGCTACGGCCTGTCCATTCGCATGGCTTGCATCTGGCGCACTATTACCGGTACCAAGAGCCCCAGCAACATCTCCAGCCACAGCATCACTACCACCACCAGCAACTGTCCCGTCCCCTGCTGTCTCCTCCCCTACTTCCCCTTTCTCACACGCCCTCAGCTGCTTAACAAGGTCCTGCAGCCAAGGCACTGTCAGCTTGTACTCCTTATTGAGCTTCTCTCTAATGTGTGGGTGCCGAGAGAACACAGGCCCCAGCATGCGGTGCAGGTGCGCTCTTATCATGCGCATGGGCACAGGATGGGAATCACAGAGAGCTAAGTACTCATCTGCAAGGGTAATCCGGTCAATGGTTTTCAGACGGCCGCTGCTGCTTGTTGTGCCTGAAGCTGCGGCTGCTGCGGTTGCTGCTGATAGCAGCCGTTGCACTTCAGCGGCTGCTTCCGTTGTCACTGGCGCTGCTGCCTCTGTTGCTGCTGCTGGTTCTGTTGCTGCTGTTGGTGCTTCTGCTGCTGCGTCTGCTTCCGCCACTATTGCTTGCGCTCCACCCTCCTCTCCCCCATTCCCCTGCCCTCTCTCCCCCCCATCATCCACCCGATACCCTCCAAACAGCGCCGGATTCTCTAACAAGCTTTCAGCACTGAGCACCCCATCACACCCTGTAGCCTCCAAACACTCCACCACATCCGCCAAATCCCTGATATTCCCATTCGCAATCACCGGAATCGACACCGACTCCTTCACGCGCCGGATCACCTCCCAATCCGCGCGCACCTTCTTGCCGTCCTTCTGCTCGCGCGTGCGCCCGTGCACGGCCAGCAGGTAGCACCCCGCGGCCTCCAGCATGCGCGCGTACGCGATGGTGCGCGCGAGGTCGGGAAAGATGCGGATCTTGCAGGACACGGGCGCGGGGAGGCGCGCGGCGGACAGCGCGGAGACGAGGGACTCGATCAAGGGGAGGTCGTCCATTAGGAACGCGCCGTAGCGGCCGCGACGGGCGATGCGCTGTGGGCAGCTGTGGGGAGGAGAAGGAGAGGGAGGGTGGGGGGAAGGGGAGAGATGGGGGCGGAGCGAGAGGGGCAGGGAGGGGGGGAAAGCGGGGGGGGAAAGATGGGGGGGAAGGGGGGAGGGAAGGGGGAGTTGGTGATTGAGATGGAAGAGGGGAAAAGGAAGGGGGAAACTGGGGAGGCGAGGGCGAAGAAGATACACGAGGGAAGGAGAGGGCGATGAAGCATGGGAAGCTGGAGATGCGTGGGAGAGGGGAAATGGGAGAGGGAGGGCAGGGGAGAGAGTCGCGTGAGGCTTCGATATAAGGACCAGCGGCCATCACATGGCTGACCGCGTGGGCCTATGTGTTCATTAATCAAGGTGCGAGAGCACAAAGTCTCACCCGAAGTTAATATCGATATAGTCACAATCTGCCGCGACAAGAGAAGCGGCCTTCACTAGAGTGTCGGGGTTATTGGCGCAGAACTGCACGAAGAGAGGGCGATCCTCCTGCAGGGGAGAGACGAACAAAAATGGGAGAAGGGGGGGGGGGGGGGGGGGGGGGGGGGGGGGGGGGGGGGGGGGGGGGGGGGGGGGGGGGGGGGGGGGGGGGGGGGGGGGGGGGGAGGGGGCGGGGAGGAAGGAGAGGGAGAAGAGATCGGGTTTAGCAACGTGCTGCTAATCCATGGAAGTTGTACGGAAAAGAAAACTCTTATTCCGTGTGGTTCTACAAACGTATGGGCCTTGCGTGTGAGGTGGTGTGCGAGACAGCGCGATGCATAAGATGCCCAGCGATGAAGGAACCAGGGAAACAAGGTGAACACGAACAGCAAAACAAAAGGGGGATTGGGGAGGGGCGTATAGGGGGGTGGGTGGGGGTGGAAAGAAAAAAAAAGCGCAACGAAGGTGAAGGAGAAAACCTATTTCTTCCCCTCAATAGCATCGCTCCCCCGTCTCAACCCCTCCCTACCCCCCCCCCTTCCCTCCCTTCTTTCTCTCCCTTTCCTTTCCACTACCCCTCCCCTTTCTTATCTTCCCTGTCGCTCCCTACCCGTCCCCCCCCCTTCCCTCCCCCTTCCCTCCCCCTTCCCTCCCCCTTCCCTCCCCCTTCCCTCCCCCATCCCTCCCCCTTCCCTCCCCCTTCCCTCCCCCTTCCCTCCCCCTTCCCTCCCCCTTCCCTCCCCCTTCCCTCCCCCTTCCCTCCCCCTTCCCTCCCCCATCCCTCCCCCTTCCCTCCCCCTTCCCTCCCCCTTCCCTCCCCCTTCCCTCCCCCATCCCTCCCCCATCCCTCCCCCATCCCTCCCCCATCCCTCCCCTTCCCCCCCCTTCCCTCCCCCTTCCCTCCCCCTTCCCTCCCCCTTCCCTCCCCCTTCCCTCCCCCTTCCCTCCCCCTTCCCTCCCCCCCTCCCCTCCATCCCCCATCCCTCCCCCATCCCTCCCTCATCCATCCCCCTTCCCTCCCCCTTCCCTCCCCCTTCCCTCCCCCATCCCTCCCTCATCCATCCCCCTTCCCTCCCCCATCCCTCCCTTCCCTCCCCCTTCCCTCCCCCTTCCCTCCCCATTCCCTCCCCCATCCCTCCCCCATCCATCCCCCATCCCTCCCTCATCCATCCCCCTTCTCCCCTTACCGGGCACGTGGTGAATTCCCGCCGGTACTTGTGATCCTCCACGAACAGTCGGCTGTGGAACATCGGCGTGTACGCGCCCTGCGCGCCGTACTTGGCGCACAGCCGCCGGAACGGCAGCTCCGATTGGTCCACCATCGGCGCCACCAGCAGCCGCGGAGACCCCAGCCGCCGGAAGTGCGCCCATGCCGCCTCCACGTGCGGCGGCGGCACGTACGCGGGGATGGGGGCGGCTGGTGCGGAGGATGGTACGCCGGCTGGTATACCCACTGCCGCTGCGGGGGCGATTGCAGCTGCGGCGGATGTTGCTGCGGGCGTTGCGGCGGTCGCTGAAGGCTTGGCGGAAGGAGGATCGGCGGAAGACTCGTCCGCACCCGCGGGAACGGGGCCGCCGCCGTCTGGGGCATCGGAGGCGGCGGCAGTGACGCGCTGTTTCTTGAATGGCGCGGAGGACCCAGGACTCGCATCTTGCGGTTGATCGCAGAGAATAGGCTCGGGATTCGCCGACTGTGGCGACACGGTCGAGAGGATTTCGTTCGATGCGTTGACACCTTCCGGGGGACGGGCATCGGAGATGATTGTCGGGGTTCCCATGGCTGAAGCAGGGGAGGAGGGATGCGAAGAGTGTGCGGTAGCTTCTGACGCTACGGCGCACGTGCGATGAGATTTGAAGTGACGGTACCCGGTTTGGAGAAAGGAGAAATACGAAAAGTTGCAATCAGCTTCTAAAGTAGACTGATATAATCTGGTAAATGACAACCGGTTCGTTCTGTTCGGTGAGAACGCAAGGGCGGTGGCAGCGGCGGTGACGGCGGCGGTGGAGGTGGAGGTCCGCGGGTGGAAGATCCGCGGAGCAAGAGCGCGAGCTATTGCGGCGGGCGTTAGGGGAGCCGTGGAAGCCACGCCAACGACAGGCTTGCAGATGGTTGGCATAGGTGATCGTGTTTTCCGGGGTTACGTGATACCACCGTATTTGAGTACCACGCAACGGGACACAAGAAGGCGATCATGAATTGCTGGAGGTAAGGCAGCAGCGAGAATTGTTGTCTACGCTATTGGTGATCGAACGCCAAGGGTGGGCTGGGAAGTCGAGCCGAGTCACGAGCCTCGGGAGTTAGCAGGAATAAGGTAAGCTCTAGACTGCTTTTCCCCTAATGTTAGTTGACATCAGACGTATAGTAATCCACTGCAAAACCCCGAGGGTTTCCGCTTCCTGGCGCGCTGTGTGAGCAAGGGAGCAAGGTGGAGGTCAAGGACGTGGGCCCAATCAACTTTGATCGGATCTGACCGGGTCGGGTTAGATCGGGTCGGATCGCTTCTGATCAGAGCCGATTTTCTTCGAGAATTCTACGCGCCTGCATGACAAACGAGGCACCCTTTTCGTAGTTGCTTCCCAACTTTGGCGGGTTTCACGAACTTTAAGTATTAAGGTAACGTCACGATTGTCATAACGCGCGCAATGTCCGCTCTAAAACCTTCGCAATGGTTATATCGTGGTTCTCGCCAATCCGTATCTATGAGCTTTTCGAGACCTCACGTTAAGTGTGTAACATGTCGCATGAGTCGCTCAGGCCCCCGATCACATGCAATCAAGTGATCGGGAGTGATTGTGTCTGATCGTGACTGATCGGGCTGTTTAAGGCGGTTGATCGAGTTGGAGCAATCAGCTGATTGCCCCCGAATGTCTGAAATCAGCTTCTGGGCTTTCTAAAAGTTTTTGATCAAAGTCGATTGGGCCCGCGTCCTAACTCCAAGGATGTTGGGGAAGTGACGCTCGCTTGGGATCAAGGGCAAGTTCAGCGGCGCGGGGTGAAGGGGGGAGGATGAGTGGTGCAAGTTGCATACGCGCTTGTAGAAGTTTGTTTTCCGAACACCTTGGGAAATACGGTAGTTCAACAAAAGGAGTAACCTACCCTAGAGATAAGGCATGAATTGGTTTGTTCAAAAACAGCAGTTAATTTTACCCTTCTCGCCTCCCTTTGAACCTGTCACCCGTTTTTCTAAAAATAAACTATGTTCTCTCGCTAAACATGGCTGAAAGGAAGAGAACGAGACATGGTGGTGAAGAATAATATATGCGGTATGTGTGGACGAGGGGAGTAATAAATGTCAAGTGGTTTCAGTAAAGCGTTTATTGCAAGCGCACACAGAGCACATGTCCAAATCGATATGGCCACGCCATCCATCTATGTTGTGGTATTCAAAGGAATGGGACAGTGCTGGGTGGTCTAGTTTGTTCCTTCTGTAGGCATTGCTGGCTGACCATCGGATCAATCCGCCTTCACAAAATCCAGGTACCGTACCATAAAAAATGCACTTCACACGAACAGTCCACAAGAGCAAACCAACTTCCACATATACGTTCTTTCAACTCCTCTCCATAAGCATCACCCTCACTAGCCAAGTAGCCACCCTTTCCCTCCAACATCACCCCCCCTCAATAATGCTGCTCTAGAACGGCATGGATCCAATAAAGTTGCCCGGGGGCGAGTAGTCGCACACCCACATGCCGCTGCCATCAGGGCACTGCACAGAGGCACACCCCACATAAGTGGTGTCCCGCCACACCACCTGCGTGTAGTGCAAGCACATCTTGCCGTCCGCACACCCGTCGGGAATGGGGCTGGGAGTCCAGTCCGCCCTCTCATCCACCCACGCCTGCACCGCCATGCGGTCCTCCTCAGGGGTGAGCCCTGCAGGTGCGCGCCAGTAGAGGTTCTGCCCAAGGCCCTCCGCGCCGCCGTGCTCCATAGGGCACCCTCTGCCCGCCAGCTGATTCGCCCAATCCTGCGCTGTTGCTGCCACCCCGTCGTCCCATGCCAGGTCCGGCACCCCCACCTCCTGCCGCGCCTTGTTGTGGACCTCCAGAATTGCTGCTACGTCCACGCCGCTGCCCCCTCCGCTGCTGCCGCTGCCATCGCCGTTGCTCACGTCACCTCCACCGTTGCTTCCATCGCCGCCGTCACAATTCACGTCGAGTCGTCCGAAATCTTCTCCGCTGTTATCGCTATCATTTTCGTTGTTGTCACCCCCGCGGTACTCGTCACCACGATAGTAGTTAACGCCACGATTCGTTCCGTGATTGCTCTCTTCCAGCGGAAATGACGACTCATCGCCGTTCCCCGCCGTGTGTCGCAGCGCCACGTCCTTCGCTGTTGCCATGCGGAACCCCGCGTGCTGCTGCCGCCGCTCGTTGCTCTGCAGCTGGTGGGACGGACCGCCACTTGAGGGATTCCATTGTGCGCCGCCGCGCGTCACATGAAGCGCTCCGCCCTGCGCGCTTCCAGAGCCGCCGTTCCTTCCGCCGCCCGGCTCGCGAACCGTCCACCTGCCTTTTCCGCGAGAAGTGTGATGGCGAATCGTCACGTCGCTGCTGCTGGCCATGCGGAACGCGCCGCTAGCGCTGCCGTGGGCTGCTGCGAGCCCGCTGTTGCGCGAACGACGTTGCGCTGGGCCGGCATGGAAGTCCCTAGCATCGGGATCGAAGTCGTCTTCCTGAAGTGCCGTACTACTAGTGGTGATATCAGGCTCACGGCCAGAGACCCATGTGACAACATCGCCGTTTGCGTCAGATGACGAGCTGGAGTTGATTAATGCGAGTCCGCGGCGGGATGATGCGTGAGCGTGAGGAGCGCACGCCCCGATGATGAGGAAGACAACCAGCGGGATGAGGCGTCGGTTCCCCATGTGACAACCGAGAGATCTCATATCCGACGACAAGCTGCTGGCAACTGGAATATTGCAAGGTCCTGCTGATAGGGTTTGAGTGGGGGAATGCACTACGAAGGGAATTGCTGAACTGATGCTTTGGGGGAATGGTCCAATGGAAATTTATACCATGAAATACGCTTGGAGTACGAAATGCGGCTCGGGAAGGCGGTTTGCGAGGAAGGTCGGATGGTTTACGGACTTCCCCTGCCGTAAGCGAGACGGGGAAAGATGAGGGATGTGACTGGGGGTCCGATACTCAAATCAACTAGGTTTCCTATGATAATATCAGCTGTCGTGCTGGGTCGTGATTCAAATGAGACACTCAATAGCGAAGACTAGTTTCTGGCTGGCTCCCCACGCACCTGCACCCCAACTTCACATTGTACGAATTTCGGAGTCATCAGATTCATAACATTGTCATCCTTATTTCTTCCACACCTATTCCATCTGCTTTCTCGCTCAAACCGGCCTCTGCGGCGAACCTTGCGCGCTGCACCCATGCATTCACTTGGGCATGCCTGCGCATGTGTCACCCCCGCGCAGCTGCAGCCGAATCCTCCCGCACTCTTGCCCCTCCTCCACTCTGTGCCGCTGCTTCCACGGGGAATCTGTGCGCGTGCGCGTGAGCTCCTCCGTTTGCGCACGTCTTCCGCTGGCGTTGCGCTAAGGAGTCGAGCTTTAAACGAGCGTCGCGTAGTAATGGTAAATTTTCACTCCCGCAAGTAAAGCCTAAGCCACTATCAAATTGTCTCGTCACATGACACAACCTATCCTATTTCTCAAAAATCATTTTCACAATAACGAGTTTCGAGGCATCTTAAGAAGCAACCTTTGTGCACGACACACTTCCCCCGTTTCTGTTCTCCCCGCATCATTCCTCCAGGTCAACAGCAGCAGCAACGACGGTACTGCTGAAACCCCACCTCCACCGCATTCCACCTCTTCCACCACCACCGCCACTGCCGCCGACAGCAGCAGCATGCTTCCATCCTCCCCTCCTCCGCCAATTCTCATCTTCACCGTCCCCGCGTGCCGCTACTGCCGCCAAGCCAAGGCACTGCTCGCGTCTAACAACCTCGCCTACACCGAATGCTCCGTCGCCCTAGATAACCTCCCTCAAGCTGCCGACGCTTTCGCTGCCGATGCTGCCGCTGCTGCTGCTGCGCCTCTGGGCTCCTCCCCCTCGTCCTCGGCTGTGGTTTCAGCAGCAGAGGCGCGAGCGGCGCTGGCGGAGGCGTCAGGGATGCGCACAGTGCCAGTTATCTACGTTGGCGGACGGCTGGTTGGCGGTTATGATGACCTGGAACAGGTAGTGTGATGAGGACGAGTGGTTGTGTTGTGAGAGGGAGGCGAAGAGAGGGAGAGAGAGGGAGGAGGGAGGAAGAATAAGGAGTCGAGAAGGAATCGATTATGTGGGCATGCTTTGTAGCTGAAGTGGTATTTTTGAGCAAAGTGTGTTTTTGGGCTGCCCACAGTGCCATGCATGCACTCGCCATGCTATTCGTGTCCCCCCAACCCAACCCTATCCCCCGCCGAAACCACATCATCCCGCCTCCGCACCCCCCTTTTTTCCTGCTTGAACACTCTGATTTGTCCATGGCGGCACATACCATCTGACTCCCATCCTTGCCATGTTCGTCTGTCCTTCCTCTCCCTCCTTCCAACACCTTTGCTCTCTCTCCCTCTCAACACCACTTCCCCTCGTTCCCCTTGTCGCTGTATCTCACTCCCACACACACAGCTTGTGAGCAGCAACAAGCTACAAGATCTCCTTGCTTCTCCCCCCGACCCACTCCCACCGGCCCTCATTCCCCTGCTTAGCCTCAAACCCGCTGCAGCGAGCAGTGCAGAGTCGGAAGCAACAGGAGGTGCAGCGGCGGCGGCAGGGGCAGCAGGAGGTGCGGAGGGAGGGCTGGAGATGTGGCCTGGGTTGAGTCGGGAACTGGTAGCAGTGTTTGAAAAGATGGCAGCAGGGGAGGGGGAGGGAGGGGTGAGGCGAGAGGAGGTGAAGGAGGGTTTGCTGGGAACGCACAAAAACGTGGTGTCTGGTGCTGCCATTGTTGCATGGCTCAAAGCAAACATGCCTCCTCCAGAAAACGCAGGGGGGGACTGTTCCGTCCCTGCTACAGCTGCATCGTCATCAGAACCAGCAGCAGCAGCAGCAACCTCAACAGCAGGAGAAGCATCATCATTGGAAGCAGCGGCAGTGGGGGTTGCAGAGAGTCTGACAGCAGCAGATCTTATTCACCACGTCACCTACTCCCAACCCTTCACCAACAAACCCAATGTTTTCTTCCGCCTCCTGCCCGACGAGCTGCCCGAAAGCACCGCGCTCAACGCACGCCCGATCTTCCTCCGGCCTGCCCGCCGGCGTCGGTTGTTGCCAGCGGGCTGCGGGCAGCGACTGTGGGGATGTACGAGGAGGCGCTTTCATTGGACGGCGGTGGCGTGAGCTACAAGCGGCTGGCAGCGTCGGATGCATTCAAGGAGTATGTGCGGGCCGCAGCGGAACTGCAAAAGGTGAGTGCCGTGTGGCTTTAAGTGGTGTGGACGGTGTGGGCTTGAGGGGTGTGTGTGTGGTTCATCTATGCCTGTTTCCTGTTAATATACATGCTTTTATGCTCAATCCGGCCCTGCTTTCTGTACATTGGACGATAGTTTCATCCATTGGTTGCTGTAACACTCATTAAACATTCCCCCCGCATTGCAGGTCCCACTGCCGCCACATTCTCACTGCTAACTATTCTGCACTCTTCTCCTCACTTTAAACACTTTATTTTTAAACCGGCTCTCCAACCCCCGCCCCCTTGCTTTTCATCAACCCCTCCTGCCCGTGCACACGCTTCCAGGTTGACGTGCTTGCTCTGCCACGGCCCCACCGCAAGGCCTTCTGGATCAACATCTACAACTCCCTCGTGCTGCACGCCACGCTCGCACTCGGGCCACCCCAATCCGCACTCGACCGCAAGCGCTTCTTCTCACACTCCTCCTACCTTATTGCCGGGCATACCTTCTCTCTGGACGATATAGAGCACGGGATTCTGCGCGGTAACCGCGCGACCATCGGGCTGCCGTTCTTTCCTGGAAAGTGCCCGTTTGGAGGGTCGGATCCACGGAGGTTTTATTCGCTGCCTCCTGCCGACCCGAGGATTCATTTTGCGCTGAACTGCGGTGCACGGTCGTGCCCTCCAATTCGGCTCTTTTCCGGGGACGCAATTGACAGTGAATTGGATACAGCTGCTGGTGCGTTTTTGGAAGGGGATGTACGGGTGGTGGAGGACGGGAGGAAGAGTGGAGGGAAGGAGAGAGATGGAGGAGTGGGATGTGAGTTGGTGCTAGAGGTGACCAAGTTGTTGGATTGGTACGGAGTGGATTTTGGAGAAAACGAGGAGGCGAGGGTGCGGTGGATACTGCCGTATCTCAAAGCACAAGTGAGGGCTCAGGTGGAGGGTGCGTTGGCTACTGGGAAGGCTGTGCGCTTGCAGTTCCGGCCCTATGACTGGACTAGCAACAGCTTGTGAATGCAACATACCATTTTGGTTGTGAGCTTGCACGCATGGGTGGTGTTGTCTATGCCAAAAGTTGGTTTGGGAATTGTTGGGTTCTTTCCATTATGTTAGTGGGTCTCTAGAAGTAGTTTCCAGAGTGTTTTTGTCTTCGTGCTTGTATGTGTATGTGAAGTGCTGTGAGTCCCCTATTTTTATAGTCTTCTTTGAAGATGGAGGAATATATATGTGCTGGTTATGACATCATCAGTAGTTGATGTTCCTGAACGTTGCTATATAGAATCCAATGGGAAACGGTTGGCCAAGCACGTGGGGGGCACTGTCGCGGTCACCCCACAAACGCCAGAACATCACCAACATGCGCAGATATGTCTGGACTGGATGGTCGCTCATCTCATTCCGATTGATTGATTGATTGACTGCAGCCGTCGATCGGAATAATGTTTCCCCCCATTCCCCCCCCCCAAACCACCCTCCTGCTTTCCCATTCGTTGTATCCTGATTGAGCGATGACGTGTCGAGTTGAGATGAGAGAAACCTGCCCGCTCGGTCTGACACATGCGGAATGGGGAGAAGAGAAGAACAATGCGTTTCAACTTTGGGAAATGATCAGATTGGGGCCCCGAAGCTCTAGGAAGAGTGCCAAACTGGGGCCTCGTGTGTCGCAACGTGTCGAACCTGGTCCGGACCTGTTTCTAACCAATTTCGGGCCTCACTAACGCGCTCTGTCAGACCTGACCACACAAGGTGACGGATTTCTGAACGGACAAGCTGGCAAAAATTATAAACCCCGAACGGGCATGCATTCGGTCAGGGAGGCATCAACCCTAAACACCTTGTCGCATGTGTTTAGGGTTGATGTCTCCTTAATTTTATGCCTTCCGATTGGGTTTTATATTTTTTTCACACTGCGATAATATTTTTGGGGTAAAATGTTAAAATTTTGGGTTATTTCGCTGAAGTATCTGTACTGCCCATTGTGAGTGGGCTGACGATCGCTCCTCCCGTCAACCAGGGTGCTAGCGAAATCCGTCAAACCCAAGCCAGCAGGTGGTGACCTGGCGAGCTCGGCCTAGCTGCCTAGGCTTGTGAATTGCTTCGACCCTATTTCGTAGGTTCGCGAATCACGAGGCCCCAAGTTGGCACTCTTTCTGCTAACCCGAGGCCCCAGTCTGATCAATTCCCTTCAACTTTCAAGAACAATTGGGAATGAGAGCAGCCGTTTCGCGTTTCTTGAAACGAACCGGCCATGCAGTGGTAGTTCACATTCACGCTTTGGTTGGGAAGCTTGTCGCGTCGCGCGGCTTTTTTTTATCCCAGTAGTCCGCGAGGGCCTCGAGGACTCGCACTAGGAAAGCTCGTCGGTCCTCGCTCCTCGCGCCGCTCACGATGCTTTTGCTCGAATTACCTGTCGAGGTTCATTCAGCGTACTTATCGCACGATTTATCAAAAGGGAATTGTCGCTCTTCACGAGCGGCGGTCAACCTGGACTCACTCGTTCGCCAGGTACATCCACCAGGATTCATCCTCGCTTTTCCAGGACTCGAGTAGTCTCAAGTGTAACGTCGGAAGCATTTAAATAACGCGAGCTCTCGATCGTCCTCTCACTGCGGGATTCACCAAGGCCTCTCTCGCTCACGCTCTCGTTCCAGAAACTCACGCTCTCGCTCACGCTTTCCCTCTCTCCTCCACTCGGTTTTCGTTCCTTCCATGGCCGCTATCTCCTACTGCTCGGTCTCTTCCCTAGCTTCTTCACACGCTGTTCCCGCTTCCCGCGGCTTCGCAATCACCAGCACCAAGAACCTACCGCTGCGCTTCCCGCTACGCGCACAGCCGCCGTATTCGCCGCATCTGCCGCTGCTGCTCCATCGGCAACGACAGACACCGCTCGCCATGGCGAATCTTCACCACCAGACCCGCCGACTCGACTCGTCTTCTCCCCTCCCCTCGCCTCCTCCCCGCTTCGTTTCGTCTCCCCTCGCCAACACCCCCTCCCTCTCGATTTCTCCGTCGCTCCCCTCTTTGCCCGCGCCTGGGAAACTCGTTGCTTCCACAGCCGCCGCCGTTGCCGCTGCTGTCACAGCAGCAGCTGTTGCCGGCGCTGCTGCTGCTGCTGCGCATGGGGGTGGTAGCGCTGGTGCTGCTGTCGTGGCGCCGTTTGATTCGTCCACGGTGCCACCCGCGGTGGCGGCGATGATGTCAGCATTATTGCAGAAGATACAGGAGGCGATTGGGGAGGAGTTGAGTGCGCGAGGAGGGAGAATGGATTCAAACATTGCTGCTGGCACTGCTGCTGGCACTGCTCCTGGTGCTAGTGGTAGTGCTGCAGGTGCCGATGGTGGTGATGATGGTGGTAGCGCAAAAGGGGGTGGTAAGACGGAGGGAGTTCTGAAGAGATTTGAAAGCCCAGACGGGAGGTCGACAGGGGCCATCCTCATGCGCGCAGGCAAGGCAGCACAGGAGCCATCCAGCCCTGGGGGTCGGAAGGTGAGCTGAGTCGCTATCACTTGCCATCGGTTGTTGTTGTTCGCTGGCAGGTGCTGCCAGGTGCTGCCAGGTTCATGTCAACTCTTTCCTCACCCTCTCCTCTCCCAAATCCACCCTCCCGTGCTCTTGTCCTCGCCCACCCCCATCCGCAGGTGGACCGTCTCTTGGCATCGTGGCTGCACTGCCCGCTCCCCATGGCGTCTCTCGCCTTCGCCACGCTCACAGTGCTCATGGGACCTGCCACTGACGCCCCCCACCTGCTCTTCGAATTCATCTTCTCTGGCCCGCCCGTCGACCAATCGGCTGTTGCCACGTTGCAGCACTCTGGTTCTGCTGCAGCTGCTCATGCTGCCCATGCTGCTAGCGCTGCCCATACTGCAGGTGCTGCTCATGCTGCTAGCGCTGCCCATGCAGCCAGTGCTGCTGGCGCTACTTCTGCTTCTACTGAAGATGCTGGAGGGGGAACTGCTGCGTCCCCAGCTCCTGCTGTATCCACAGGTGTGGGGATATTTCACGCTCCGATGCTCAATCAAAGTCCTTGCTGTTCACCTGTGTCTGTCTGCGCTGCATACCTGGCCTTTTCCCTCCTCTGTTCTCCCTTCATGGTGGCTCTCTGCAAGGCAAGCTTTGTACGTCCTTGTATATATATTCCGGTTTCCTGTAGTGCTTACTGTGTATTGCATTTCTGCTCCTCTTATTTTCTGGAATCTCGCAGCGTTCAACCAGCTGACAGTGGTGATGGATGTGATTGCAAGGAAGGACCTTGTAGCGGATGCAGAGTACAGGCAGCGAGTCTATGAGACCTCTCAGCTGGCTCGACTGTGGGCGCAGGTGTGCACTATGAATTTATATTTAACGCATTTGCTCATGCACGTGCCAGAGCATGCAGGCTGCTTCCCTATTGTTAAGAAGTGCTCACAAGGTTAAGAAGTGCTCTTTTTCTCCTACGGATCCCTGTTTCCCTTACTGTCTCTTTCCATTTGCTCTCACTTGCTCTTTGCATGCCACCACAGTGTACTGCTGACAAGAGGCTTGAGCCATTCTCCCCGGCCACACTGTTCCTACGTGCTGCTCTCTCTCCCACTGCGCTGCTCTTCTCGCTCAAGCCTACTCCTACCACCACCACCGACAGCAGCAGCACCGTTGTAGTGACTGACGCCTCTCCTAGCAAACCGAGAGCAAGCAATGAGAAGCCAGCACACTCTGGAGCTGTCTCACAGCAGCAGTCAGCAGGACCACGTGAGAGTGCTGACTGGCTATCTGAAACAGTGGAAGAGACCGTTGCCCCTCTAGCAAAGGATGTGCTGTCTTCATGGCTGGAAGCTGCTGGCAGTGCAAAAGCTGTTGGAGGGGAAGATGAGCAGCAGGTGCTTCTGGCAAGAGATAAGGCGATTGTGGAGTGTGGCATTCAAGTGGACCTGACCAGTAATCTCCCGCGGTTGTTTGGGCAGAAAATCACTGACGAGATAGTGGATGTGTTTAGGAACCTGTAGTGTTGTTCAGCTACTGGGTTCTTCAATTATGTACATCCGACAACCATACCGTATCAATTATACACATTAAACTCAGATCATTTGTTCAAGTGAAAGCTCACACTGAGCAACACATTCTCCTCACAAATACAGGGGACATTCCAGCAACATGACTGAGCTAATGAGTACTAAAAACTGAATGGGCACAAAACTTGAAGTGTTAGCATTAGACGGTGAGTACAAGCAACACAAGCTATGTACATAGAATCCGGTAGCAGCTCTCAGCGCCGTGTATGTATGAAAGAGCCCATAAATGAGGCCGACTGGAGGACTGTGACAACCCTTCCACTCCTTCACAAGGAAAGCCGCCGAGCTTTCATTGCGTGACTTTTTCTCCCTCTCTTGCTCTTCTGTGTAGATGCATCCCACTCATCCCCACTTCCACCATGCGGAGTGGCCGGAACAGGCTTCGGGGGGTGCCCCCGCTTACGCTTAGCTCCATGCACTGGAGCACTATAAGGTGCATCGCCAGCTTCTCCCCCGATTGCACCCTCCTCTCCTTCTGTAGGCCCTGCAAACCCTCCTGCAGCCTTGGTTCCCCCCCTGGGCTTGCTTGGAGTGGAAACAGTGAAACCAGTGTAGTCTCCAATGGACTCATTCTTCATCAATCTCTTGAATGCCTGTACAAAAACCATACAATGTGTTAGAGCAGCCGCTACTCTGACAAGAAGCAAGTTCATTCACAACCAGACTGCATATGTGAAGATCCAAGGATCTAATTCACACCTGATATTGCAGGATGAACTGGCGCATATCATTGGAAATGTCCAATGGAAGGTTGTGCAATGAAAGATCTCCTGGAGCCCGTTGTCCAAGGGCTTCACTGTTGGTGTTCCGCTGAGACTCGCTCGGATTATACGCCTGAACGAACGATAGCAGCTCTTGAAAAGAATTCATGCACAAGAAACTCTATACAAGAAGAAGGAGGAAAGAATCAAAGATCAAAACAGCGGGGTCGTGAACTTACCAAGCATCGTGCATCGGTGAGGGAGTATGCCGCCTTCAACCAACCCTTCAGCTGAAGAAGCAAGGAGAGTGCCATTGCAGCTCGAGTATCATCCTGCACAGTCGTGTAAAGACAATATAAGAAACCGAGCACGTGAAAAGAAAGATATATCAAACAACCACAAACAAGCATGCTTGTCACTCTGCCTTCCTGATACTAATAAGCCATTCCCCAACAATACCTTGAGCCTTCGAAGAGCTCCATCAAGAAAGGCCTGCTGCTCCTGTGGATCATTCCCACAGCAGGATGCTCCTTCAGGAATGGTGATCTCGATAGGCTGAGAGCCTCCCGCTTCCTCATCGTCTTCCTCCTCCTCCGTAATGCGATATGCATTCCCACACCGGGCTGCTTGCTCCTCTTCGATCGCCTTGACAGCAGATGTGACAGACGGTCCGAGCGGGCTAGATGGTCGGAAGAGGTACTTGATGGAAGAATGAAGAGAGCCACCTCTCATGTGGGCCACACGGCTGATGTGATGAACCAGGAAGAGTGGCTCATCAGGAAGAGCAAACGGAAAAGTTGCAACCACCTGTGCACAGAACCTGCACCAACCCGTGCAGCATTGTAAGGAGACCATAAAAAACCAGGCCAATTAACGCAAACCAGCATTGAACGTATGGTAGCCACTTACGCAAGAAAGTAGATGTCAAATGCTCCAGCAGGAGTCACACTGTAAGGTGAGGGCGGTTCTTGATGTGCTCTGCTCGTAGAAGGACTGCTGGTGGGAGTGCTGCTGCCCAATTTGTTGCTCATACTGCTGCTCGCATCAACAGAGTCAAATTTTCTGATGATCGAGAGGAAGATGTTGTTTCGTGAACTGCGGTTGCCTCGAATCAGCTTGTAAACACGCCCCAACCCTTCCCGAGCTAGCCCAAGAAGTTTGGCATTGGCAGCATGAGTTGCTGGGCCTGAAGCTGTTCTTGAAGCATTTGAATCTGCCTTGGTGGGGGTCTTCATTGCTGGATTAGACTGAGTGTTAGTTGGATGAGCAGAGAGAGCCCTCATGAAGCCATAGGCCAAGCGCATGCCGTCAGTAAACCGATTCTCGATGAAGCGATAGTTGCCCCACCTGCACAAACAATGTTCAGCAGAACCGTTAGATGGAGTACTCCATATACAAGTACAATGACATATAAGGTCAAGGACAGCTTGCCTGTCATTGATCAGTGATAAAAGGTGGTGTGATGTCTTCCAAGTCGTCTCATCAGGGTCAACTTGAAGAGCAATCAACTGAGGAACACACGTGACTGGTAGCACGAGCCCTTGATTCAGAACAATCTCCACCAACTGCCAAAAAAAAAGGACAAAATTGCTTACCAAGAACATAACAACAAGACCCCGGTCCAAGTTATACGCCCAATTAAAGCGTGGTGTGATAGATGCTCACCTTCAGTGCTGTTTGTCTAACGTCCGGGTCCATGTCCATACAGCACTGCAAGATCGCTTCCCAGTGCTGCTGAATGACTCCACTGCACACATTTGTGTCCCCCGCACCTGCAGCCACGGGCACAACCCCAGCCGCGCTGCTGCTTCCACCTGCTCCAATCCCTTCGCTGCTTTCTTCCTGAAGTTCTACCGTGTTACGGTGCCTGGCAGCGTCTTGTGCCTTCTTTGCTGCTGCTTCGGTTTGAAGTTTCCGGCGATTCTGCTCCACCATCTTCTCCTCCACATCCGTCAAATACTCTTGAAAGCTCCTCAGAACTTGCACCTGTGAACAGGAGCAATATGAAATTTGGTTGGTGATCATAGAATATACGTCAGGAGGGGCACTGCACTTTTACAGTCCTCGGAGATCAATGTTACTGTATTGTACCTTCTGCTTGCTTGGGGCCTCCATGCGAAGTGCATTTCCAAAAATATGGGCCGCATCCTCGGTAACCATTTCTTGTGGCCGTGCAATGAAAGCAAAACCCAAGGCCTGCATCGGAAATGTGACAGTACCAAAAAGACATAAGAATCAATAACTGGCAGAGCAAAATTAGTGCAGAGAAAACCAAGAAAGCACCTTCACGCACCTGGAGGGCACGCTGCTGAAGCTCTTCTTCAGGAGACGAGAGGAAGGACTTGAAAACAGAAAGGATAGACGGAATTGGAAGAGGGGGCTCTAGGGCTTCAACTTCGTTGGCGCCATAACGGCACAGAAGGCCAAGTGCAAAAAGGCTGCGCCAATGCTGCAGAAACAAGCCACGTATAGCAATCGGTCATACAGAATCTCACTAAGAAGGTATAATGAAGAAGAAGAAAAAAAGGAAAATGCCAACGACGAGTGGTAGCCTGAATGTGGAATACGTACAAATTTGCTTTCGTTGGGGTTGGTAAGTGCGCGATAGAATCGGGGAACAAGCAGCTGAAACGATTTCAGAGGCCGTGGAGAGACAATCTGGAGAGTGCAAAGACACCTGCAGTTACCACAAGGAACAAATGTGGAGCACATTGATGACAAATGGGACCTTACGCTGAATAGAAAAGTTAGTAGAGAGTGCAGTCACCTGATGGAGACATGAACAAGGTTCATGAAGCTGCTGCTGATGATGAGGCATGCAAGGACCTGATCCAGCTCATTGACAAGAGATGATGGTGGCCGGCGAAGATGTGCCAGAATTCCTGCTATCACCCGAACAATGGACTCTGACAGACAAGCAAGTCGGGCCTGCCGTTCGGCCCTCTCTCGTGGCTTGACATCACCATTGCTCCTGTCATCCTGCATAAAATTGTTGTGCGAAGCAGTCAGCAAAAATCCTCCTGTGGTTAGCTGAACTGTGAAAACCTGGCTACAGCATACCTGTGTTGTTGTCAAGTATGGAAGCAGCGTGGTTGCAAATCGACTTGGATCCACAGGTGGAGTGCACAGTGTAGCATCCACTTCACAAAATGCCTGGAGAGCCATCACAAACGGAAGTGCTGCGAACTCATCCGATTCCCGCTCTTGTACCTGAAAACAAGGAGAGCAACAGATGTCAATGGCTGGAAAACCGAGAAACGACCAATAGGAAAATGGGATACTGACCAATAGGACCTGGTCAAGAAGATAACGACAGATAGCTTCACAGCGCATCCTCACAAAAGGCCTCTGTTGTCCACCGGCTTGAGCGGAGAGGGGAGCAAAGGAGGTCGCTGAGATAGTCGATGTAGCCAACACTCCATTCTGTGCATCACATTTCTTGTCTGCAGCTTCGTCACTGATCTCCAAACTCCGCCTGATGATTGAGACTATGGTCTGATGGCACTTCTGCGTCCGCAAGACCTCCACAAGTTGCCCAGCTATAGCAGCCACCTTGTGCTCCTCTGACTCTTCTTGTGAAACCTTTGAGGTGCCCCAAATGCCAGCACCAACAGCAGCCGAATCGTCAGTGTTGGCCACAGCAGTGGTTGAAGCCGCTCCCTCAAACCAAACATCATGGAAGGTCTTGAGGACCAAGTCACGAACACTAGCCTCCTCATCACTAAATCGTGTGAAGATGCGTGCCAGGGCCTCTGCTGCATGGGGAAAGCCACGATGCTGCAAGCAAAGCTCCCGGACGATACGAATGACTCGCTTTCGCACACTCACACCAGTGTCTCGGATGCGGTCTGTGACGGTATTATAGTACTGCAGGGAAACAAATGAAATGGTCATGATTGTACAGGTTTCATGGAGACCAGAAACAACATTGGCCAGGAAGGCACATACAGGCAGTCAACGGACCTTCAGCGCAACTTCTGGGTATCCAATGATGTGCTTCCCAACCAGGTCGATTGCAGCCTCTCTCACACTGACTGACACATCCAGAAACCGATCCTCCACTGCCTTCCGCACCTTGTCCAGAGCAAGGATGCTTGGATCCACCTCTACCACCATGCTCAACTGCCAAGAGCAAAGCAGTAATAAGAATGATAGCAAAATGGCGGCAAAGAATGCAGCGGCAAGCAAGCAGCAGGCTTACTGCTTTCATTGCTTTGGCACGATTTGTTGGCCTGTCCTTCAAACAAGCCTGCAAAATAGAAGGAGAGCCAGAATGGACTAGTTTGACACACGCATTGGAAAAGTAACAGGATGGGAGGGCAATGAGCATGGCTTTTATTAAATCTTTAAATGGTGCTTCTTCATACCAAGAGCCGTGTCAACACAGCAGAGAAACTCCGATGAAATGCGCGACGCAAGTTTAAACTCCGAACCACGCGAAGCACAAGCTCCCTTGGTGCAACCGCCACATTCGAACCAGGAGCAAGTGCAGCTGTTGCTGGCAGTAGCGGTACAGACGGATCAACCATCTGAAGAGCATCGACTGATTCCATGTGTGGCTTGAATATATGGAAACGAGCACTGTATATTCTGTTCATGGGGCTTTCTGGGGCTGCATTCAATTGTGGGGTGGAATCTTTCAGCCACGTTGCAATCCAGAAGCTGCAGGGTATGAAGAGGGTGGACCACGAGAAAACAAAGGTCAGAACAATAACCTGAAACCAGAAAGAACTGGCAAAACAAGAATGGAAAAGGATTGAGCATTTGGCATATAGATATTCACCTTCCAGCATCAGCACACACTCGATTCCGTTTCATGCTGGCTGCAAGGTAGTCCAGAACCATCTGCTCCAAGACCATCAAATTCGTCACAGCAGCTCCCGTTTCCTTAGTATCTCCTCCGATGGCCCTTTCCAAACGCTGCTTGACGAGGCATGGAACACACATGACCTCACTTCCAAGAGACGCAGGCCCTCCATCGCCCTCACTCACTCCCATGCAGTCAGAATGAAAAACGCTCGAGCATGCAGAACAAGAGGTCAGGGCATTGGGACGGCGAGCTGAATCTCCTGCAACTGTACAGACCACACACCCTGTAGGCACGACTGCTGTCCCGTTTGGGGTGCATGATGGCTCTTCCTTCACGTTTCCAGGGACAGCAGTGTCAGTGCCATTAACCTGCTCCTCTTTGGGATCAACAGAAGAGGGTGCAGAAGAATCATCTCCCAATGGCTTGCAAAGGCCCTTCACAAGAGGCACCATATCTTTTTCAATGGATTTTTGATCCATTTTGAGCTTGGACGCTATGACCCCAAGAATGTCAATGGCCATGCCTTTGACAGCTGAGCTATCGGACTTCAGGCCACAGCTTGAATCCAAAAAAACGCACAGAACCTGCCATAGCGCAACAACCATGTGTTATAATTCTGCAGAAGTCATATGGCCAACAATATTATAATGCTTGTTCACAACCACCATCTTACTTGGAGCATGAGGCTCGCAGCAGGGTACTCTGGAAGGTGGAGCGCCAGTAGCAGGTCTTCAACCAAGGCTTCTAGCACTGCTTTGGAGTCCGCTCCTTCAGAACCAGCCTTAGGAGCCGACCAGCGCTCCAAAGCTACCTTCCAGAAGTATCTGACTGCATCGATTGCACTTTCCAGCCCCGTGTCAGAATGACCCTTCTCAGGGCTGCCCTTTCCATCGTCAGCATCAAGTTTGCCATTACCCTCTCCGTTCGTGTTTGCCAAATCGTTTATCTGGTTGGTTGCTGCGACATCAAGAGCCTCTTTCTCATCAGCCGAGCTCGAAGGCCGCCGTCGCCCCCTTTTTCCTTTCTTGACTGGAGCAGCTTTTATCTCGTTGATGGAAATCTCTTCCTCTACTTGAGGCTCAGGTTCTGGCTCAGGAAGAAAGACACAGCACTGAAAGAGCTGCAGCAGCAGTGCTGAAACCAGCTGAATAGTGCTACTGTTCTCCATCAGATGGTAAGTTCTTGAGAGCTTCTTTCCCGTGTGCAGCTTCCACAACAATAGAGCAATCTCATCCATCACCAAGCTCCTATGGTGTGGGTAGACACGAAAAATCTGTGGATATCACCAGAAGCACAATCGTGAGACAGGCAATAGGTGCTTCATAAGCAGCTGTTATTGCGGCTGTTAACTTACTGCAGTGATCAGCAAAATCGATTTCAGCTGAAGCAAATGCACATTGTCCACACTGAGTGCTTCAAGTCCAGTCTTGGTAATTTGCAGTACTGAGCTGTCTGGCAGCCTTGTTACTGAAAGAAGCGTCGCAAATATGGGCAGAATACTGCAGACCTTGTCCATCAGAGCTGAAACGGCCTTGGAAGCCCTGCCATACGACGCTTGCGATAATAAGGTCGCTTACAGTAGTAAAATGACAGGTTGCAATCAACATGCTAAAAACTTCAGAATCTTGGGCAAAACAAGCGTACCTGCCATCAATGCCTTTAGACTTTCTTCGTCCTTTGCGCTCAGATTTTGATGGTTCCGCAGCACCATCTGCACCTGTTGCAGTTTCTGTGATGATGTGGAAACCCACGCGTCAAAGCATGGTGTCACGTAAGAAAAGATACATTCCTTCTACAAGCTAATCACGATTTGAATGAGACTTACCATCATCATCAGCATGTGCTTGCCGGTAGACAGCATCACACGCACAGAAAATGTTCCGTGACATGTGGAATCGAATGCATTCAATAATTTTTTCAATCACCTGCAAGGAGGTCAACGGCTCAGTGATATTTTGGAATTTAGGCATAAGAAAAGGCAGAAGAAGTCGCGTACTCACTTCTTCCTGAAAGACTTGCTTTGGCATCCCATGTGACGTCATGATAAGGAGAGACAGATGGACAGCCTCCAGAGACATCATGGCGTTCCCAAAAGCTTCAGAATTCACCTGTAGACGAAAAACATTCAGCAATGACTCAGACCACGGAGGCTGTGTGAATGACAATGCAAATCAGCTGAGCTTACATTGTCATCGTCCTTCAAAGCAGAGAGTTTGCCATGATCAATTTGAGCTTCCAGCACTTGGAGAAACCGAGACAACAAATCGACCGGAAGGAAGCATAACAGCTTCTTTTCCCTCCACTTTCGTGCAGTCTCTTGCCAAGTAGACATAGCCTTCCATGCCATTTGCCTGAAACCCTGGTCGCTACTGGAATTCTCGAACATGTCAAGAAGATCCTCCAATGATTTAGACAAACCTGAGAAGCGAAAAAGCACAGTATTAGGCATGCCACTGACAATTGCTGCAATATGACAGTAGCTGATAGGTTACCTTCAACAGTCTCCCCATTGACACCATCGCCTGGGCGAAGCCCGTGATGAAGGCTTGTGCGTCGTTTCTTGAGCTTTGATGTTGGAGAAAACTGATCGGATGCACCTGGCAACTGAGCAGGTGTACCATCGCCATTCATATGGGTCTCTAGCTGCACAACATGGCAACGGAACTTTTCATGAATCACGGCGAGGGAAACCAACGGTAATTCTTCGGTATCACTGAACGCACCGGCATGGTTACGAATTCCTTCCGAGTCGACTCAGTTAGAAGTTGCGAAAGGTGTGGTGCTTCTTGTGGAGGCTGCTGAGATGTTTTTTGCACGTGCTGCTGAAATCCTTCATGTAACGTGAATTGTCCAGAGGTTTGATCAGCTGGACCAGACATAAGGACATCACCACGTAAGGCGTCAATAGAAAACGTGAAACCCAGTAAGGAGGACAAAGGCGTAATGGTCGAATACAGTGCGTGAAACTCTGTACACGTGAATAAAGGCTTCAAGGGGGAAATACCTGAAGATGCCACTTCAAGAACCCCAGGAAATCGCTGCTCAACAGCATTGATCAAAACTGCGGTTGCTCCAGACATGGTTGTACTTTCTGCTACTCTCCTCTCGCAAGGGCTCACCAACGATCTGATAAGAAAATACGGTAATGTTAGCTCAGTGTTCCGAAAGCCTGGAGAGATAGAAAGATACGCTCCACTTACAGGTAAGAGACGTCCGCACCCCGTACCAAATGCCCTATCCTATCTATGTCAGCTCCCGTCAATCCATTCAGTGAATCAGCTAGCCTTGCAGTAGCTTGATCTCCTCGTAAAACTGACGACCCGTTAACGTCTTGAAGAGATGCTATTGCCGGCAGAGGAAGAGACTGCGCAATTTCTGAATGAGTCAGATTCGTCAGACGGAAAGCATCCATGGCTGTCAGCTCAATAAGCTGGATGAAAAAAGCGCTAGCCGCATCGCCTATCAGGATGGGGTTGTGTGAAGCACAAAAATCACAAAAGTTTGCAGGCTGTGCTCTTCGTTTCCCGCCAAACCTCGACAAAAAGGCTTCTGTCCTCGAGGGCTGCATGGCATGGGTACAGTAAGTTGAAGCATGCTAGAGTGTACCCGATTTATATATATTTTTATGTATTTGATTTCTAAAAAGCGAAAAGGAATTGCAGAAACTGAAAGAGTGCTGCATCTCAGTCACCAAGTACACATAACCGCCGATGTGGCATTGGAGGCTGCGAGGGCAGCTTGGGAAGAGCATCGTAGGCGCTTGCAACAACAGCACAACACTCGCAGGAGTGGCCTACCTGAGAGCGTAACGCGGCACAGTGCCTGCTCGACCGACGTCGACTCTCCCCTAGTCGTGCCACGTCTCGCACGGCGGCAGGAATGGCGGCGTCGGAGGGCGGCAGGAAGAGACAGGCAACGGGAGCCGCCGGTGGGGGGCCGGTGGGACCTGCAGGCGGGCGGACAGCAGGGGAGCCGGGAAAGAGGCCGACAGCCGCCGGAGGGGACGAGGCAGCAGCGGCTGCAGAGCGGAGGGCAGCATGAGCTGCAGGGCGGAGGGCAGCAGCAGCTGCAGAGCGGAGGGCAGCAGCAGCTGCAGAGTGGGGGGCAGCAGCAACTGCAGAGCGGAGGGCAGCAGCAGCTGCAGAGTGGGGGGCAGCAGCAGCTGCAGAGCGGAGGGCAGCAGCAACTGCTGCAGAGCGGAGGGCAGCATGAGCTGCAGGGCGGAGGGCAGCAGCAGCTGCAGAGCGGAGGGCAGCATCAACTGCAGAGCGGAGGGCAGCAGCAGCTGCAGAGCGGAGGGCAGCAGCAGCTGCAGAGCGGAGGGCAGCAGCAGCTGCAGAGTGGGGGGCAGCAGCAACTGCTGCGGAGCGGAGGGCAGCATGAGCTGCAGGGCGGAGGGCAGCAGCAGCTGCAGAGCGGAGGGCAGCAGGAGCTGCAGAGCGGAGGGCAGCGGCAGCTGCAGAGCGGAGGGCAGCAGCAACTGCTGCAGAGCGGAGGGCAGCATGAGCTGCAGGGCGGAGGGCAGCAGCAGCTGCAGTGCGGAGGGCAGCAGCAGCTGCAGAGCGGAGGGCAGCAGCAGCTGCAGAGCGGAGGGCAGCAGCAACTGCTGCAGAGCGGAGGGCAGCATGAGCTGCAGGGCGGAGGGCAGCAGCAGCTGCAGAGCAGAGGGCAGCAGCAGCTGCAGAGCGGAGGGCAGCAGCAGCTGCAGGGCGGAGGGCAGCAGCAGCTGCGGAGTGGAGGGCAGCGTCAGCTGCAAAGCAGAGCACAGCAGGAGCTGCAGAGGGGAGGGCAGCATGAGCTGCGGAGTGGAGAGCAGCAGGAGCTGCAGAGTGGAGAGCAGCAGGAGCTGCAGAGTGGAGAGCAGCAGGAGCTGCAGAGTGGAGAGCAGCAGGAGCTGCAGAGTGGAGGGCATCAGGAGGAGCAGAGTGGGGGGCAGCAAGAGACATGGTGGGTGAGCGATGTGGAGATGGTGGACGAGGCAGGCACCGACGAGCTGGAATCAAGCCCCATGGAGGGGGAGAATGCCAACCCCGACTCCTCGGACCAAGCGGAAAGGCCCCGAGTGCGGGGGCGGGTCCGGAGGCGACGGGCAACCAAACTGCTACAGCTGCAGAGGGGAGGGCAGCAGCAGCTGCAGAGCGGAGGGCAGCAGCAGCTGCAGAGCGGAGGGCAGCAGCAACTGCTGCAGAGGGGAGGGCAGCAGCAGCTGCAGAGCGGAAGGCAGCAGGAGCTGCAGAGCGGAGGGCAGCGGCAGCTGCAAAGAGGAGATCAGCAGCTGCTGCAGAGTGGAGGGCAGCAGGAGCTGCAGAGCCGAGAGCAGCAAGAGCTGCGGAGTGGAGAGCAGCAGCAGCTGCAGAGTGGAGGGCAGCAGGAGCTGCAGAGTGGAGGGCAGGAGGAGCTGCAGAGCGGAGGGCAGCAAGACCCACTGGGGGAGTTGGATGTGGAGATAGAGGCCGAGGCATACACCGACGAGCTGGAATCAAGCCCCATGGAGGGTGAGAATGCCAACCCCGACTCCTCGGACCAAGCGGAAAGGCCCCGAGTGCGGGGGCGGGGCCGGAGGCGACGGGCAACCAAACTACTACAGCTGCAGAGGGGAGGGCAGCAGCAGCTGCAGAGCGGAGGGCAGCAGGAGCTGCAGGGCGGAGGGCAGCAGCCCAATCAGAGCGGAGGGCAGCAGCAGCTGCAGTGCGGAGGGCAGCAGGAGCTGCAGGGCGGAGGGCAGCAGCCCAATCAGAGCGGAGGGCAGCAGCAACTGCAGAGCGGAGGGCAGCAGCAACTGCAGAGCGGAGGGCAGCAGCAGCTGCAGAGCGGATGGCAGCAGCAGCTGCAGAGCGGATGGCAGCAGCAGCTGCAGAGCGGAGGGCAGCAGCCCAATCAGAGCGGAGGGCAGCAGCAACTGCAGAGCGGAGGGCAGCAGCAGCTGCAGAGCGGAGGGCAGCATGTGCTGCAGGGCGGAGGGCAGCAGCCCAATCAGAGCGGAGGGCAGCAGCAGCTGCAGAGCGGAGGGCAGCAGCAGCTGCAGAGTGGAGGGCAGCAGCCCAATCAGAGTGGTGGGCAGCAGCAGCTGCAGAGCGGAGGGCAGCAGGAGCTGCAGAGCGGAGGGCAGCAGCAGCTGCAGAGCGGAGGGCAGCAGCCCAATCAGAGCGGAGGGCAGCAGCAGCTGCAGAGCGGAGGGCAGCAGCCCAATCAGAGCGGAGGGCGGCAGAAACTGCAGAGCGGAGGGCAGCATGAGCTGCAGGGCGGAGGGCAGCAGCAGCTGCAGAGTGGGGGGCAGCAGCAACTGCTGCAGAGCGGAGGGCAGCATGAGCTGCAGGGCGGAGGGCAGCAGCAGCTGCAGAGCGGAGGGCAGCAGGAGCTGCAGAGCGGAGGGCAGCAGCAGCTGCAGAGCGGAGGGCAGCAGCAACTGCTGCAGAGCGGAGGGCAGCATGAGCTGCAGGGCGGAGGGCAGCATGAGCTGCAGGGCGGAGGGCAGCAGCAGCTGCAGAGCGGAGGGCAGCAGCAACTGCAGAGCGGAGGGCAGCAGCAGCTGCAGAGCGGAGGGCAGCAGCAGCTGCAGAGCGGAGGGCAGCAGCAGCTGCAGAGCGGAGGGCAGCAGGAGCTGCAGAGCGGAGGGCAGCAGCAGCTGCAGAGCGGAGGGCAGCAGCCCAATCAGAGCGGAGGGCAGCAGCAGCTGCAGAGCGGAGGGCAGCAGCCCAATCAGAGCGGAGGGCAGCAGCAACTGCAGAGCGGAGGGCAGCAGCAGCTGCAGAGCGGAGGGCAGCATGAGCTGCAGGGCGGAGGGCAGCAGCCCAATCAGAGCGGAGGGCAGCAGCAGCTGCAGAGCGGAGGGCAGCAGCAGCTGCAGAGTGGAGGGCAGCAGCCCAATCAGAGCGGAGGGCAGCAGCAGCTGCAGAGCGGAGGGCAGCAGCAGCTGCAGAGCGGAGGGCAGCAGCAGCTGCAGAGTGGAGGGCAGCAGCCCAATCAGAGCGGAGGGCAGCAGCAGCTGCAGAGCGGAGGGCAGCAGCGGCTGCAGAGTGGGGGGCAGCTGCAGCTGCAGTGCGGAGGGCAGCAGCAGCTGCAGAGCGGAGGGCAGCAACAGCTGCAGAGCGGAGGGCAGCAGCAGCTGCAGAGCGGAGGGCAGCAACAGCTGCAGAGCGGAGGGCAGCAGGAGCTGCCCGATGGGGTGCAGCTTGCGAGGCTGCCAGAGGGGGAGATGGAGATGGAGTCGAGCAGACAGGTCTTGCCGGCGTGTTCGAGTGGAGAGGAGCACCCAGACCCTATGCTGACACCCCCGCCCCGCATCCCGTGCGAAACCTGTTATCGCACTTTCACGGAGAGAGGAAAGGCCACGCGTCATATGTCGGCCTGCAGGGCAGCGGACGCCAAGCGCCGTGCACAGGCGCTTGGGTTGACCCGCGACGTCACAGACGACTCGGACAGCGAACCTCCGCCACCACGGGATATCAGTGAAGAGGTGTGGGCCGCAGTTCCCACATGGGACTGGGAGTCGTTTTTCGGGATCGAATTGGTGCCAGGGAGAATCATGCGTCGCATCCCACAGCGCGCAAGACTGGGGGTGCTTGATGCACTAGCTTGTATCCTGAAGCGGCTCAAGTCAAAGGCAGCAGACGAGGCGGCATCCTTGGTGTTTTTGGCCTTCCCTCGTCTTTTCTTGGGGATTCCAACCGGGCAAGGCCAGGGGCAGAGGGCGGCAATTAGGGAGCGGTTGGAGAAGTTTTGGGCTGGGGAGTGGCAGCAGCTGTTTGAGTTGGCGGTGGCGGCGATGCAACCTGCGGCTCGCCCCTTGTCCTTCACCCCACCCGAGCATGATCCTGATGCCGTGCGCCTATCCCGCTGCCGTACAAGGTGCAAAGTGGGAGAATGGAGTCGGGGTTTGGCGTGCCTTACGGCTGGTAGCATCGCTCAGCCCTCTCAGCACATGGTGGACGCGCTACGAGCGAAACACCCATCGTGCGAGTCCGCCATTCCTGGGTGGGTGCAGGAGGAGACAGTCGAGCCTTCCCTTATCCCACAGCTCTCAGTGGAGGTACTCGGCCAGGCGATCCACTCAGCGGCTAGGGCGTCCGCACCAGGACCGTCGGGGTGGGTGACGGAGCACCTGCGCGACACTTTTCTCTCTGAGCCCGCGTATCTGTCCCACCTGCTAGAGGTCTTCACCCAGTGGACCAAGGGAGAGGTAGCGGAGCGCGTGCGACCCTGGCTCACTGCGTCCAACTTGGTGGGCCTGTCGAAGCCGAATGGTGACGTTCGCCCGGTGGCTATAGGCGAGGTGCTCCCCCGCATACTATCTCGGGCCATATGCATCGTGCTTCGCCCGAAGATGATGTCGCACTTTGCTCCGTGTAACCAGTTTGGAGTCGGGTCCAGGTCGGGAGTGGAAGTCCTCGCACATGCCTTTCGCTCCGCCATCTCTACTCACCCGTCGTGGTGTGCGCTGCAAATTGACGTGGCGAACGCTTTCAACTCCTTCCATCGGCGGGAAATGTTTGAGGGTCTTCGACAGTCGCCTTTCAAGGGATTGATTCCATTTCTGCGTGTCTTCTACGGCACTCCTAGCGACCTCTATCTCCGAGCGGGCCCTTTTGTCGAAGCTTTGGCTTCCGAGCGGGGCTCGAGGCAAGGGGATCCATTGGGTCCGTTTCTGTTCGCGTTCACACAGCAGCTGGTTATGGAACCAACCAAAATGGAGTACGCCGACTTACTCTTCCTCAGCTATGCTGACGATACGTATATCCTGGGGCCTAGGGAACGGGTTCTAGCAGCCTATGAGGCCTTGCGGGAACGACTGGACGGGCTGGGTTTGGAGGTGCAGCCGCATAAGTGTAAGCTATGGGAGCGAGGGAGGGACCAGGATGGGGAGGAGAGAAATGAGACTGTCCCGCCCGGCATGCAGCAGACATGGACGGGGCTCACTGTGGTAGGGGTGCCCATTGGGGAGGAGGACTGGGAGGTGGCTAGCCTGCGTCGCCGGCTGACGGAGCTGCATGCACCTGTCCCCTGGCTGACCACCCACAGATTGCGTCCCATTTGTTGGCGATCGCAGTGTCGGCGCGCCCGATCTACCTCACACGGACGATGCCTCCACGACCTGAGGTTGTGGAGGCTTTTCGGGACTGGGACACGAAGCTGGAAGATTGTTTCGAGGAGCTGTTTCCAGATAGTACCTGGGATCACGATTCGGGGAAGTCCCAGATGGCTCGTTTACAGCTGCACCTTCCTGCCAGACTCGGGGGGTTCGGCATTCGATCTGCGGCTGACCTTAGTCCTCTGTCGTATGCATGTGGCTGGTGCCAAGCAGTGAGCGATGTGGCTCGGTTGGGGGTGGCAGGTGAGGAGCGGATGTTTGAGGAGTTTTTCCGCACGCCCGAGGCTACGACCTTGTTGGACCCCTGGTTTGCGAGAGCAGTGGATCTGCTTCCACAGTCGGTTCGGCAGGAGATGCCACCCCTTGCCTTGTGCACCGCTGATCCGCCTATGCTGCTCTTCCCCACACAACACCGTCGCCTGGCGGTTGAGAGCCTCCAATCTCTTCGAGGCATGGCCCACAACGATGCCACCCTGGCCCGTTTGACATCCCTTCAGGGCCCGGGGGCTGGGGCGTGGGTTTCTGCCGTTCCTTCGCACGAGGAGGCTACCTTCACCGCAGCCGAGTGGAGCATCTGCGCGTCCATGCGCCTAGGCCTCCCTATTCAGCAGCTGATAGTGGCCGGCAAGTGCGCGTGTGGGTTTGAGTTTGCTGATCCCTCTGACCCGCATCATGCCCTTCGCTGCAAGTATCAGTATGCACCTTCTCGGGTTCACGATGCGGTTAAATTTGTGGTGGCGAAGATAGCTAAGGGTGCGGGTGGGATTGTGACCATGGAAGACGACACGTTGCTCCCAGGGAAGAGGGTTGATGTGGCGGTTCGGAAACTGAGGGAGGGGGAGGAGCACGCGCTGGAGGTTAGTGTGGTAGATCCTATCTCGCTATCCGCGCAGCACCATGGACAGATTGGTCGCAAGGTGGGTTTTGCCGCGAGAGAGAGAGAAAAGCGGAAGACGGCGGACTACAAATCGCTTCTACAGCGGCATGGGGGAGTGCAGTTCACACCACTCATTGCTGAGACATGGGGATGCTTGGGGGGGAGTTTTGGACGGTGGCTTAAGAAGCAGGGTGACGCGCAGATCGAGATAGCAAAGACGAAAGGGGCGGCGCGAGCTACGGGAAAGGGTTTCTCGGCTTATTTGCTCGGATCGCTCAAAGCGGCTGTGGGTGTGGCTTTGCAACGGGCTCAGGCGCGTGTGATCTTGTTACGCGCTGCGTCGATGATGAGAGGCCCAGAGGCTGTTTGGGTGGAGCGGGAGGATGTTGAGGAGGAGATGGGATGGGATGCTCCGTGGGCGGATGCACCATACTTGGTAGACATGCGGGTTTAGAAAGTGGGTTTAGGGGGGGAGGTTTGGTTCGATGGGAGTGCAGTTGGGGTGCTTTGATGGGAGGGCTTGATGGTGTTTTAAATGTGTGTGCTATTGGGGTTTTCTTGGGGTTGTGTGTGCTGCTTTTTCTTCCTTCTTCCCTGTTTTTCTTCCTCCTATCATTTTTCCCCTATTCCCCTCCTTCTTTCTTCCTCTCTCCTTTTTTCTACTCACGTTATTCCTCCTTTTCTCCTCTCTTCCCGTTTCCACTCCTTTTCCTTGCGTAATTATGCTACATTGTAATAGAAAGTACACATAACGTAACAACCTAAATTATAACGTGTAACACAAAGGCAAAGCTACCATACCAAAGTACACGGTATGATAACTTTGCATAGTTTCACCAAAAACTGATTAGGCAAGTAATGCCGACGTATTTTTTTTCTAAAAACTCCAACGGCAATCCCTTTCACTGCGGTGATGCATTCTTGCATGTGATGCAAACACGGGCTTTTCCATTGGCAATAAACCGCTGCTTTTGAACCTTGTGTCACACATAAGAAACAACAGACACAAAATCCCAACAAGCTTCCACGTGACCCATTTTTGTTGCGATGCCTTCACTTGGGCCCTCCATCCACAACTGCCTGCACAGCTCAGATTACATTGGACCATAATGCCTTCCCCCATCACCACCACCACCTCCCCTTCCTCCTCTTCCATGCCGGCCCCTACCCCACCCAGGCCCTCCTGCCCCCCTCGGCCCTTTATAATGACCATGCTCATTGTAATCAAGCCCAAAACCCCCCTGGCCACGCCCACCACGACCACCACCACCACCACCACCACCACCACCACCACCACCATAATACCCCCCATCAGCACCAGGAGCCCCGCCATAAACCTGCGCTCCATCTCCCTGTCCATGCCCCTGCTCCCAGTTCCCTTCACCTTGACCTTGACCTTGGAACCAACTCCCCTGCCCCTGACCCTGTCCTTGCCCCCACCCTCCCTGCTGGTTCTGCCCTTGACCCTGTACCTGAGCCTGGCCTTGTGACTGACCTCCCTGGCCCTGATTCCACGTCTCCTCACCCTGCTGCCCCTGCTTCCACCCAGTAGCACCCTGTCCTTGCCCCCAATTCGTCTGTTGACCCTGAGCCCATGCTCCCTGTCCCTGCCCCTGGCCATGTCCTCCCACTCCCTGAACCTGACCTTGCCCTTCCTCTCCCCCTCCCACTCCTTGCCCCTGATCCCACGCTCCCTGCCTCTGCCCCTGCCACTCCCCTTGCCCCTGCCCCTGTCCCTGCCACTGCTGTCCTTGCCCCTGCCCCTGCCCCTGCTGCCATCCCCCCTGCCCCCGCCCAGGGCCATGCCTCCATCCGCCTTCTCCTGGTCCCCAGCGCCCACCACCCCCTCCCCTTCCGCCTCTCCATCCCCCCCCTCGCCCGCGCCCCTGCTGCCACTGCCCTTCTCGCGGGCCCTGATTCCACTGCCCCTGGCCCCGCCCCTGCTGCCACTGCCCCTGTCCCCCCTGCTGCCACTCCCCCTGACCCTGCCCATCTCCTCCACCCTGCTGCCATTGCTTATCCCCTCGCCCCTGCTGCCCCTGGCCCTGCTGCCATTGCCCCTCTCCCCGCCCCTGCTGCCATCCTTGCCCCTGCTGCCACTGCCCTTCCCCTTGCCCTTGCTGCCACTGCCCTTCCCCTTGCCCCTGCTGCCACTGCCCTTCCCCTTGCCCCTGCTGCCACTGCCCTTCCCCCTGCCCCTGCTTCCACCCACCTTGCCCCCCCTGCTGCCATCCTTGCCCCTGCCCCTGCGCCTTCCATTGCCCATCTCCCTGGCCTTGACCCTGCTGCCACCCTTGCCCCTGCCCCTGCCCCTGTCCCTGCTGCCACGCCTGCTGACCCTGCCCACGTCCCTGCATCCAGCCTCCCTCCCCTTGCCCAGGCCCTTGCCACCGACCCTGCCCCTCCCATCCAGCCCCCCGCCCCCCCCCACCTGGTCCCTGAGCCCAGCCCCCTTCTCCCCTGAAACCCTGAGGCCCTCTCGGCCCGTCCCCACCTCCATATCCTTCCAATGGCGGCACCTGCTGCTGCTCCTGCTCCTGCTGCTGTGGCTTTGGCATAGATCCCCACGCATCGCCCGTGGCACCTACAGGCCCACCTCCCCCTGCACCGATGCCTGTTCCCATCCCCATCCCAGTTCCTGGGACCATACCGCCCTGGGCAGGGATAGGCGCACCAGCAGGCACAGCAGGGGGGATGGACGCGACAGGACTGGGGGCAGTGGTGGTTGTGATTTTCCAAACAGGGCGGGCAGGAGCCGGAGGTGCAGAGGCCATGGGTGTGGGACCGGGCATAGAAGGGAGCGGACGCTGCTGCTGCTGCTGCTGCTGCTGCTGTGGGTGGATCTGTGCAGGGCCAAAACCAGCAGTGCTGCTTCCACCAGGAAGAGAGGCAGGAGCGGCAGCAGCGGCAGGTGGGATAGCGGGAGTGGATGTACCTGGTTGTGGGATGAACGGCTGAGGAGAGGTGAAGGGAGGTGCAGCAACTGAGCTTGTGCGGTCTTGAGTTGCTACAGGGCGTTGTTGCTGCTGCTGCTGCAGTTGCTGCTGCTGGGAAGTCAGAGCTGCAAGGGACGCGAGAGCGGGAGCTACAGCAGCAAGCGCGGATGCCAGATTACTGGGCAACCCGCCTGCAACCACTGCTGCGGCCGCTGCAGCAGCATCAGGTGCAACCATAGGAGGAGTAAGCGCAGGAGCAGGATGAGGGAGGGATGCAGAGGCTCCTGCAGAAGAGGCCGGAGCAGCAGCGGCAGAGAGAGGAGCAGCGGCGTTGGGAGCATGAGCTGGTGCAGGCGCAGTAGCAGGACTACCGGAATAGAAGCCAGGTGGGAGGGACGGCTCACTCTGCTGCGGCTGCTGCTGCGGCTGCTGCTGCTGCTGCTGCTGTGGCAGTGCCGGCTGTTCAAACTCAAACTCAGGCAAATCATCATCATCATCCATACCTCCTCCTCCCCCTCCTCCTCCTCCCAACCTCCCACCAGCAACACCAACGCCCCTCCCAGCAGCACCAGCCCCGCCCGGGTGCCTATCGCTACCATCATCCCACCCGCGCCCCCGACGCCGCCTCTCCTCCCGCCTCTCTCGCCCTGCCCACCCTGCAGAAGCAGGCGTGGGCGATGTTGGCAGGCGGGGAGACACAGCAGCCATAGGGCCCGATTTCGGACCAGCAGCAGGTGACATGGGAGGGCGGGAGCGTGGGGCAGGAGGCGTATGTGCAACCCCTCCTCCTCCTCCGTACCCACCACCAGCACTGGCGCCACTGCCCCCGCTGCTGCCTGCGCGGCGAAGCGCAACAGGTGAAGGCCCATGCCCATGGCCCGAATGGAACGAGCCGTACCCCTGCTCCCGACCGTACTCCCTCTCCCGCTCGCGCTCGCGGTCGCGGTCTCTCTCTCGCCCGTACTCTCGCCCGTGCCCTGCGCCGTGCCGGAACCTGTCTGGTTTGTCCTCCTGCCGATGTGCATGTGGGGGTATGGAGTCCGGTGGAGGGAACTTTGCTGGAGACTCTGCTGCTGCTGCTGCCTTGGAGGAGTGAGTTGAGAGGCCTCGAGTAGCGGCAGCCGCTGCAGCAGCCGCTGCTGCCGCTGCTGAATCATCCACCTTGTAGCTCGATTCCCGTTTACTGGCCTTACCGTACCCAGCAGGGGTAACAGCCGCAGCACCTGCAGCATCAGAAGCAGCGTGGGTGGTGGCAGCTGAAGCAGACGCGGAAGCAGCTGCAGCGGCGGCAGCAGCAGCGGCAATAACCTGTGCTGTGCTCTTTCGCTGCACTAGCAGGCCTAGCACTCTCTGCCCCACAGCGGATGCAGGAAGAGCAAGCACACGCTCCCCTGCTGTCATAGCCGCAACAGCAGACGAGGAGAACCTGAGAGAGGCAGAGCCAGGCGAGGGAGTCGGAGCAGAACCAGCAGCAGGGGCTGCTGCAGACACAGTCCCTGAAACGGTCAGTGCAGTTGCCTCTGAGCCTCCTCCTGCTCCTGCTGCTGCTGCTGCTGCTGCCGCTGCTCCTCCAGGTGCTCCGCCTGCTCCGGCCGCTTCAGCAGTCACAAGAGCAGATTCTCCTGGTTCTTTCCCATGCTCTGTCTGAGAACGGGCTCCACTGGTGTCTCCTTCAGTACCCGGACCTGCAGGAGTCTCTGTGGCAGGAGACGCAGAGTGTGCTGGGGCGGACGGAGCAAGAGCAGCAGGTGGTGGTGTGATAGTAGAGGTAGCGGAGCTGGGTGTGTCACCACCAATGACCGGAACAGCAGGAGCACTAGCAGAGACTGCTGCTGCTGCTGTTGCCGCTGCTTCTGGTGCTGCTTCTGCAGCAGCTGCCTCTGGTGCTGCTGCTGCTTCTGGTGCTGCTGCTGCGTCTGGTGTTGCCGCAGCTTCTGGTGGTGCTGCTGCCGATGGTGGTGGCGCGGCGTCTGATGGTGTGGTGTCTGCAGTAGTGATGGCAGTGGTCACAGGACTGACCTCCCCTCCTCCCGCTCCTGTTGATAAGTCTCCTCCATCCTGACTCATTCCTGGTGCCCCAGCCTCTTCCCCTGCTGTCTCCACACCAGTCATTCCCGCTGCTTCTCCTGCACCTGCTGCGTCTGTAGCATTGACTGTCGCAACAGCAGCAGCAGAACCATCCCCTGTTCCTCCCGCCTTTCCTCCCTCCACACCCATTCCCACTGGCCCTGCCTCTTCTTTCACCACAGCATCCCCTACAGGAGTCACAGCTCCGGCTGGTAAATCTGCTGCAACTCCTTCTGTCTTCACCACTCCTGCTCCCACTGTTTCCTCCTTCACAGCTTGCCCTGCAGCCGGTCCGTCCGTTCCAGTGGCAGTAGCACCCACAGGAATAGCGTCTTCATCACCCTGTGCCTCCACCTTCACCTCCTCCTTTACCTTAACCTCCTCCTCCGCCTTCTGTGCGCTCTCAACCACCTCTGAAGGAGCAGCAGCAGTGTCACTACAAGTACCAGCCACACCCGCAACACCAGGACCAGCAGCCGCATTGGAACCTGCTCCTGCTTCTGCAGCAGCAACCGCAGCAGCAGCAGAGCCAGCCGCAGAGTCAGCAGCAGAAGCAGGGGCAGCAGCAGCAACACCCGGAACAGGAGTAGCCCCAGCAGCCGCGTCCGCAGCAGCAGGAAGAGCAGCAACAGGCGCAAGAGCAGCAGCAGCAGCAGCAGCAGGGGGTGGAGCAGGAAGCGCCTGCTTGGGCAGGAAGCCACTGGCTCTGAGAAGATTCTCCCCCTCGCTGCCCACAGGTAGCAGATAGAGCTCTGTGCCCTTGCACGGCTCTGCAAAGCCCACCCTGTTGCTCTCCAGGTACTGCTCTGCTGCCTGCTCGCATGGGGTATATGGATGGGCGTGAGAAGGGGTGCGGTGGGGTGGAGATGACAGGGTTTAAGGGATAAGGTGTGTGACGGATTGAGGAGGGAGAAGTGAGAAAGAGAGAGGGAGAGATGGGAGAGAAATGAATTTGGACGAGGGAATAAGGAGAGAAAACATGGTGAGAGTTGGGACGATGGAAGAGAGGAGAGGAATCACAGAATAATAAAAAGGGTGGAGAAAAGAGGCAGCTGAAACATGATCATACTTTTTTATTTCTTGGTTCTTTTTTTTTTTTTTTTTGGCAACGAGAATAGGTGGTAGAGGCTCAGAGATTAAACAGGTCGCGGTTAGGATCGAGTGAAGCAACTAGAGAGAGGAAGTTAGAGGCAAGAGCAGGCTACAGATTGGCAAAAGAGAGAATGGAGGGCGCACCTCGTGAAGAGCATCGTCTGTAACATCCGGGCACAGCAGCACTAGGACCTGATGCCATGCACACACGATGGGGACAAGGGCAATCGCATGGTGAGGAGAATCGAACGAGATAGAAAAGGAGAGTATGGATAAGGTAGGGGTTTGACAAGGAGAATTGCGAGCTAGGAGCTTGAAACTCTTGGGGTGGAGTGGAGGGTTGGAGCAGCACAAGACAAGAGCAGAGACGAGAGAAGATGTGTGGTTGCAAGAGGAGAACGGGGGAAGGAGTGGAGGGGAAGAAGAGCGGCAGTGAGTAGAGGGGAGTGGAGGAGAGTAAAAGAGAGTGAAGGAGAGTGGAGGGGAGTGGGTGAGAGTGGAGGAGAAAGGAAAGAGGAGGAGAGAGGGGGGGAGAGAGAGGGCGCACCACGACGGTCCTAGAGCGAGCAGTGCGCAGCGCGGAAAGGAAGGTGGCGAAGTCTGACATCTTGACCCGCCCCTTCACCTCCACCACCGCCTCAAAGCGCCCCACGTCCACACTGCTGTCGCCACTGCTCCCGTACATGCCGCATGATAGAGGGGTGATGATGGGTGATGAGCAGGATAAGGGATAAACAAGGGACGGGTGGGGGTTGGGGAGGAGAGGACAGGGATGAATGGGGAGGAGAAGGTGGGAGATGGGGGAGAAAGAGAGGGTTTTGGAATGTTTAAGCAAGGCAGCCGGTGGTGAGAAAGGGAGAAAGCAAGCACGGCAGGGTGTCTGCTGTGTGCTATGGTGCTCGATGCTGGATGCTGGATCGTGAGTGGTGGATAGTGGGTGGTGGGTGGTGGATGCTTGTGGCCCTTCCTCTTGTGTTATGAATGATGTAAGTGGGGTGCTCGACAATGAAAATCACCGTGCGAGCAGATGGGGCACTTGACCAGTGCAAATCCCCAGGACAGCACAAGCCGTCATACCCTAGAGCACCCTTAAGTCCAGACCTAAGCACGATAAAGCCCAAACATGAGCGTCTTAAAGCCTAAACCCCGCGTACCTGACTCGGAAGGCGCGGATGGGGCACATGCGGGAGGACGTGACTTGCAGCCCGCCCTCCCATATGTCCTGCCCCACTGCCAGGGCCTTGGCTTCTTCCTCTGCCTGCGACCACACCTCCTCCACTGCACCCTCCGTTACTCCCCCCCAAAACGCTGCTGCTGCAGCTGCGGCTGCGGCTGCACCCCCTTCCGCCTCCCGCTCCCGCTCTTTCTCCTTAGCTGCTAGCCCCCGTTCGCCAGCCTTCTCCCCTCCTCCTTCCCTCCCCCTCCCTTCTGTCCTCCCCTGCTCCTTCAACCCCTTTCCGCCGTCCCTACTCCGTCCTCCATCCCCAGCCCCGCCCCCCTCACCAACCACTCTCCCCTCCTTGCTCTCCTCTTTCACATCCCTCCCATGCCGCCCGCCATGCACTTTCTCCCCGTCACCCCCCAACGACCCTGCCTTCCCCAGCACTCTTCCACCTCCCCCACTCCCTCCTGACCCTCTCCCCTCAGCTCCCACTCTTGCCTTTCCGCCTCTCTCTCTCCCCTCCGTCCCTTCTCTCCCTTCCCGCCCCTCCCTTCCCTCCCCTGACCCTGACCTGTCTCTGCCTGTGACTCGTGCAATCAACTCTCCAATCCCTTCCTCTTCCAATCCACCTGAACCCCCACCCACACCACTGTAACTCCTGCGCCGTAGACCTTCAACAGCCTGCCGTTTCCCCCCTCCCCGCTCCTCCTCCTCACCCTCCACCCCCCTCTCGCCCTCCTCCTCCCCATCCCCTCCCCCACCAGCCCTCATCGCACTCCATTTCTCCCAGCTCAAAATCTCCCCACTCCCCTTCCCTTCCCCATCCGCCTCCCTCTCCCTCTTCACACCAACCCCCCCGTCCCCTCTCTCCTTCTTTCCACCACCCGCCCCGCCTCCATCCCCCTCCGATTTCCCGTCCCCACTCCCACCCCTCCCCCTCCCCTCCTCCTCGCCCTTCCCCCCTCGCTTCCCCGCATTCAACCCCACATCAGCCACCACAGGCGCGGAAACCTCCTCCGCCAGCGAGGGCAACTCAACCTCCACCTCGCCCTTATGTGTCTTCTTCACCACACGCAGCAGCGCATCAGAATCCTCTTCTGTCAGCACCGTCTGCTCCGCATGCTCCTGATACTTCGCCTCTCGCCACTGCGACAGCTCTCTCGAAGCCAGCTGCTCTGCAGTCATCTGGCAGAGCTCTTTAGGGGAGAGGTCCCCCGAGATCACCCTAGCACGTAGCTCTGGGTTGCTCGGGTCTTTCAGGTTGAAGAGCAGGGATCGAGCCCTGTCGCGGTACTTTTTTGTGACTCCTCGGAAGAGCCGGTATAGCTCTTCTTCGATTGTGGCTGCGAGGGAGTCCGCTTGGGCGCGCTGTGCTGGGGGGAGGGAGGCTGGGGAGAGTGCCGGGGCGGGTGGGGTGGTGGTGGTGGGGACTGGTGGGGTGGATGGGGATGATGGGATTATAGCTGTTGATGGTGCTGCTGATGGTGATGCTGCTGATGATGGTGGCGCTGCTGCTGCTGGTGATGGTGCAGATGGTGTTACTGCTCCTGAAGGTGTGGCCACTGGTGGTGATGCCACTACCGATAATGGCGCTGCTGCTGGTGGTGCTGCTGCTGCTGCTGCTGCTGGTGCTGGTGCTGCTGGTGCTGGTGCTGGTGCTGGTGCTGCTACTGGTGTTGCTGCCGCTGGCGCTGCCGCTGGGACTGCTGCTGCTGATGCTGCCACTTCTGCAGCTGCTTGTTGCGTTGGCGGTGCAGCTGGTTCTGGCAAAGTTGCAACATCTGCTGCTGCCGCAACCACATCAGCAGTCCCTCCCACCATCCCTCCCTCCGTCCCTCCTGGTGCAACCTCCACCACATCATCATCCATCTCCCTCTCCTGCGCCCCAATCACTCCTCCCACACCACCCCCCTCTGTACCCACCACTGCATCTTTCATCTCCACATCCCCCCCTGCTGCCTCTCCTCCCTGTGCTACTACTCCTCTACCCACCCCACCTTTGTCCTCCTTATTAGCCTCTTCGTTACCACCTCCTGTCTCTCCCTCTGCGGCCTCTGCCAGCGGCGCGGAACTTGGCACTTCAACCACGTCTGAATCCGCCTTTGCTGCAGGCTCTGCCCCTTCAACTGCAACCTCGTTCTTTACCTCTTCTCTCCTCACCTCTCCAACCTTCACCTCTACCACATCCTCCTCCATTTCTTCCACCTTCACTGCTCCTCCTTGCTTCTCTCTCGTCTCTCCCTCCTTTGTACCTGTTGCAGTAGCAGCAGCAACACCACCCTCGTCTCCTGTCACTGCCACTGCAGCCGCTTCTGCTGCTGCTGCTCCTGCGGTTTCAGCAGCAGCAGCAGCAGCAGCAGCATCAGCAGCGCCTGTTCCTTCTCCCATCACAACATCTACCACCGTCTCTCCCGCAGCAGCTGCTACAGCTCCATCCGCGCTCACCAAACTCGTTTCTGTCACACCCTCTGCCTTCACAACTGCTTCAGTCACCATTGGTTCAGCAGCAGGCTCCGATTTCAGCCCAGTTTCCCCTGCCACCACCCCTGCAGCAGAGTCAGCAGCAGCAGCAGAGTCAGCAGCAGTAGCAGCAGCAGACGGGTCTGACTGGCTCACTGCTGCAATGTCGGCTCCAGTATCTCCACATGCAATGGCTGCACTGTGAATGACAGCAGCAGCATCAGCATCAGTTCCAGCAGCGGCAGCCGCACCATCAGCAGCCTTAGGCGGAAGAGGATCGGCAGATGCAGCACCAGCACCAGCGGCTGCATCAGACGTCACGGCGCCAGAAACAGGAGCAGGTACAGCAGCAGCAGCTTCAGAAGCTTGCACAGCCGTGGAGTCCCCAGGAGCGGCAGTGACATCGGGAGAAACGCCACCCGGAGTGTGAACCCCCTCCCCCTCTGCTGCGACAGACCCTCCTATAAACCCCGCCTCTCCTTGCACTACTGCCTCGCTTTTTACTCCATTCACCACAACAGCAACACCAACACCGGCTCCAACCTCCTCTTTCCCTTCCTTCTTCTCCGTCTCTTGCGCTTGCTCTACCCTACCCTTCTCTTCCTCCTTCACATGCTTCCTAGCTGCATCTGCCACTGGTGCCGCAGACTCACTAGCCTTCTCCTCCTCCCTTTCCCTCTTCACTCTCGCATCTGCTCCCACGCCCCCCTCTACCTTCCCCTCTGGGGCCGCAACACTGGCCGCAGCAGGAAGCAACTTCACCTCTTCCCCCTTCTCCTCCTCCTTCTTAACCCCTTCCAACTCCTTGCTACCACCTGGCTCGTCCTTCCCTTTAATCTCTCCTTTTGAAGCACCTGTCGCAGCAGCAGCTTCAGCAGCAGCTGTTGCTGCTGCATTCGAAGCAGCGGCCATTTCCAGTAAGCCGATGCAGAGGGCAGCAGCAACAGAGTCTCGGAACCTCTGCCGCGTCGCAATATCCGAGGGCGATCCGGTCATCGCACCACCAGCACCACCACCACCGCCACCACTAGCACTTCTCGCAACCACCATAGCCCCTCCACCCCCACCTCCTCCTCCTCTTGGGCTGCTACCAGCCAGCCCGCTACCCGCCCGGCCCCCTCCGCCCCCTCCCCCTGCTGCACCCTTCTCCTGCCCTCTCGCCCGCGTCCCTGCCTGCCCTGCCGAATTCCTCCGCTGCCCCGGCCCCTTCAGAGGAGCAGTGCGGGGCGAAGCAGGGGAACCAGCCACTCCCCCCGCCGCTGCAGCTGCCGCTGCTGCTGCTGCTGAACCGCCGGAAGCGGATCGAGAGAGAGAGCCGAGAGGGAAGGCGTGCGCTGCGCCTGTTGGTGGGGGCCCCGCGTTGCTGCCGCTGCCTGTGCGCATGCGCGAATGGTGCTGGTAGTATGCTTTGGTGTGCGGTTGCGGGGGGCCCTGCCCATCATCCTGCCCCATCTGCTGCTGCTGCTGCTGCTGCTGCTGCTGCTGCAAAAATTGTTGCTGTAGCTGCTGTTGCTGCTGCTGCTGCAGCTTGCCCAGAGCAGCACCAGACAACCCCCCACCACCAGCACCAGCGGCTGCTGCTGCCGCAGCCGCTGCTGCTGTGCCTTGCCTTGTCCGCATGGCACTTTTCGCTGCTGCTCCTTTCCCTCCTCCCTGTCCCTGCCGACTTGCTCCCCCCGCTCCTCCTGCCCCGCTTCGCCCTACCCCAGGAGGAGCAGCAGGCGGTGCTGCAGCCATCACGCCACCTGGCATAGCACCTGGGCCGGCACCTGCAACACCTGGAAAAACACCTGGCGGAACTTGCGAGGGAACAGTGGGCGCTAGCCCAGGAGCAGCAGTAGCGCCAGCAAAGGCGGGGAGAGGCGGAATGGCAAAGGGCAAGAGCTGTGGCTTTCCATAGAACACAGGAACGCGCAGGAGAGGGATAGCAGGCATCGTAGGAGGCACAGCGGCAGTGGCGGGTGCACCAGCGGCGGTGGCAATGCCGCTGGCAGTGCTGGTACTGCCACCGGTTGTGGGAAGAGTAGACTGCACTGGCATTGTCACCGCCACCAGTTGTGGTCCAGGAGTCATAGCCCCTGCTCCTGCCGCCGCTGCTGCACCTCCACCTGCTGCTGCTGCTGCTGCTGCCGCGGCTGCGTCTGTGACAGAACCAGGTGCAGCAGCGAGAGGGGAAGGTGCGAAGGCAAGGGCTGCTTTCTCCCCGCCTGCCCCTCCCCTGTCTGCAGCCACTGCCCCGCATGGAGCCAGGGTGGGAGACGCAGCAGGTGGGACGGCAGGAAAAGCAGCGTGGGGAGCAGAACCCTGGGCTTCAACTCGCGGTTGCTTTGCTGCTGGAGCAAGCAATCCAGTATCCACCCCCTCAACCTCTCCAGCACCCACACCAGCTGCGCCAGCAGCAGCGGCACCCGCAGCAGCAGCCGCACCAGCAGCAGCAGCAGCAGCAGCGGCAGAAGCAGCAGCAGCAGCAGCAGGATCCATTTCTTGGCTGGGCCCCATCATCATGTCATCTGCTGTGCGCTTCAGTGCACCTTTCGCCCCGGCCGCATCTGCCGCAGCTGCTGCTGGGTCCACTGGGGGCTGCAGCTGCGGTGGAAGCGGAGTGCGCGTGGGAGACTGCACTGTGTCGTCTGGCAGGGCAGCAGACGCAGCGGCGGCAGCAACCGCGTCGTACACAGAAAACGGCTGCCCTGGCTCCTCTTGCTGCTGCTGCTGCAGCGGCAACTGCTGCTGCTGATGCTGCTGCTGCTGCTGCTGCTGCTGAAGTAGCTGCTGCTGCACCTGATGCTGTTGCTGCTGGTCCCCACCCAAGGCGTTATGCGCGTCACCATTAGCGCCTCCTCCCATATTCACCTGCCCTGCACCCAGACCCGCGTCAGCAGCGCCAGGCACTTCCCCCCCAGGCACTGCCAAGCCCATGCCATCCCCAACAGCAGCAGCAGCAGCAGCAGCAGCAGCAGCATTAGCAGCAGCAGCCGCGGTAGCAGCAGCAGCTGCTGCAGTGGCAGCACCAGCAGCAGGAGCTGCAGCCCCTGGGACCACAGTCATGCCCTCTAACCCAGCTTCCCACCCTTCCAGAACATGATACATGCTAAACTCACCCCCTTCCATGCCTTCTCCCATACCCATACCCATGCCCATCCCCATCCCCATCCCCATGCCCATGCCTTCGACCTCCCCTATCCCCATACCCATCTCCACTCCCATTCCTACTGCCATCCCTCCCATCCCCTCTTGACCTACACCACCATTTCCCCCGGCCATTACCCTTCCTGCCTGCTCCTCTGCATATCCCCCCCCTTCTCCCCCTTCCTCCTCCTCCAGTCCCTCCCCCTCCTCTTCCTGCTCCACCTCCTCGCCCTCCCCAGCTGCCGCCCCCCCCTGTTGCATCCGCTGTAGCTTCTGTGCCTCGCCACGTGTCAGCCTGCGACTGGCTGCCTGCACGGATGTAGTGTGGCTGCCTGGAGCCTCGGGATTGTCGGCGTCGGACGTGGCGTCTGATTGGCCGCCGTCCGAAAGAGAAGCCTGGGGAAGGCGATGGGGGGAGGAGAGGGAAGGTAGTGACGGAAAGGAGGTGCATTAGGGAAGATATTTTTTTTCTATAAAGTTAGAAAAGGCAACAGAGGAGAGTGAGGCGCAATGTTAAGAGGTGGAAAAAAACGATAGTTGGCTGATTGGTTCATTGGTTGGTTGGTACAATTCACTCAGGACAGTAAGTTGAAGAATTACAGCAGCAGGGTTTAATGTAAAACAGCAGCACAAGGCGGTGCAGTGCGGATGCATGTAGGCATCGCATCTGTACACGCGCGAAGTTAAAACAACAAAACCATGCACATGCACATGGACGCGTGGCAGGGATGGACCAAGACAGTCCCCTGTCACGCACTCACTAACTAACAGCCCCCTGTCACGCACTCACTAACTAACAGTCCCCTGTCATGCACTCACTAACTAACAGCCCCCTGTCACGCACTCACTAACTAACAGTCCCCTGTCACGCACTCACTAACTAACAGCCCCCTGTCACGCTCTCACTAACTAACAGCCCCCTGTCACGCACTCACTAACTGACAGTCCCCTGTCCGCGCACTTCGCAGCCGCGCGAACATGTATCCAAGCCATACACCAACCGTACTGTATCACTCTAGTTGCCGACAAACCCACACAACAACTTCCCGCGTTGTGAGAATTCTCCGAAGTGACTCCCAATCTCTTCACGAGATAACAAACATCCCACTGGCTACATGTTGTTGGTAGTAACCCAACCGCCACCTTTTATATTACATAAACCCCCAATGCTATCTTCTTCCCTTACAGCCTTACGAAGCCACCACTTCTCACTCTCAGCACAAACCCCTGCTTTCTCCACAAAACCCCCGCACTTCCCACCCACCAGGCCCTTTCCCCGCCCCGCCTGACCCAATGTTCCATGTTTCTCACCTGCCCCCTCCGCATCTCCCCTCCTCCCCCACTTCTCTCTCACCCATCCCGCGCGCGTCCCCACTCGCCGTCACCTCTTCCAATGTTCCATGTTTCTCCCCCTATCCCCACTGCCCCTCTCTTCCCCCCGCCAAACCCCCCTTCCGGTCTCTTGCCCTCGCAAACCCCCTTAACCTTCCCCATCCCCTAACCCCACCTTTTGGTTCGACTTGCGCCTCGCCCGTTTCTGCCCGGGGGACACCGCCACCCCCGCGCCCGCCGCCACGCCCGCCGCTAGCGCCGCCGCCGCCGCTGTCGCCGCAGCCGCAGAAGCCGCGGCGGCGGCGTTGTCGTCGCCGCCCGCGACTATCGCCTGCGCGGCTGCGCGACAGGGTTCGCAGAAGTATTCGCCCATGCCCGCCGCCTCCTGTAGGGTAACCATGCGACAACGAAGAACGCACGCACGGGTGGGAAAGAAGGGGAAAGAGGGGAGAAGGTGGAAAAGGAGAGGGAGGGGGGAGGAGGGGGGGGGAGGGGGAGGGAGGGGGGGGGGGGGAGGACGAGAAAAAGAGCAGAGAACGGGAAATAAGGGGTGTGTGAGGCGATGCGAGAAACGG